GAATTACAATCACAAAAGGAGTGAGCAATGATTACATTTTCTGAAGCAAATTAAAGCAGTTTGACAGGATTAGGATACCTTCTCCCTTCAGCAACAGAAATGCTAATAGGTATAGAAATCTTTTCACAGTCTTGCATTTCTGCGAAGGGAAGAAAACCCCGGAAGCAGTGTGTTTCTATCATGGCTCTGTTTTTAGTCGCCCTTTAGAAATCAGGTAAGGGAGCCTTCTGGAAAGTGGCAATGAGTTGCTATATTTTTGAGATGGATTAGATTAGAAAGTAAAAGGCATATATTATTCTGTTATAGTAGCAGAATTTTGCCTAGTCTCCAACCTTCTCATCTCAAAAAAGATAGTTGAGCTAGAGTTTAAAAGGACCATAGAGGAAACAGATGATCTAGTTCATTTCCTGTCAGTGTTGGGGTGTGTGTGTCAAAATATCCATCCTGAGTTTCCTTAACAACTACGTGAAACTTTTGGGAGAGGTCACCTGTCAGCATGGAGTTATGTATCATCAATAAAATACTTGGTTATACATCTTTAATCCAGGCTGTCAAGTGATGCCATTTTGTGCCTAGAGACCATAAGGGTTAGAATAGGGGAAAAATAGGTACCAACTCAACCAGGAGAAGACCAAGTCTGGGTTTTGAGGCCCTTGAAAGCCAATGCTTGAGATTTTTGACTCCCAGCTATATATGGGTTTGCATTTCCCTACTTAGAGCTAGTAGCCAATTTGGAGATCTTCCTAGACTCATGGCTGCAGCTGGCAAAGGAGAGTCTTTTCCTAATTTTGTCTGCTGTACCAATTGCACCCATGGCCATCATCCTGTGGTCATCTGATCACAATTTGCAACCTTTGTCTTTCAGCAAAAAATATCCATTGGGGAAGCTGGATTTGCTTTCTGTCTGCCTAATTCTTTTAATGACTGCTTTAAAGTTGTTTAAAAATCAGATCTGACTCAACTTCCGACTGCAACAATTTATGATGGAAATTCTGGTGCCAATTGTACATAAGTTGAGGATTAAATACAGAAGGAAATAAGTTTTAAAAGAAAAAAAACAAGAGACAGAGAGAGAGAGGGAAAGATGTCATCAACCTCTTGTAACAAATAATTTGGGTACAGATTTATTGCAAGTTTATACTTACAGTTTGCCCTGAGAAAAAGCATTCGTTTTTTTGGCAAACAGCAAAATATATAAAATGTATGCATCATTAGAGTGGAAACCAATGCAGGTCAACTTTGCTTAACAACTGCTCTGTTTAGTGGTTGGTATTGAAAAAGTAACTTTATGAGTGGCTCTTGTACTTACAACTGTTGCAGCATCCCTGTGGTTGTGTGATCGGGATTCGGGAACTTCAAAATAGGTGGGTGTTTACCACTGGTGGGATTCAAATATGTGAACAACCGGTTCTCTGTATGGATGCTGCTTCCGGAACTCCATTCTGGGCCTGGGCAACAAAAAATTAGCTACCGGTTCTGCCGAAGTGGTGCAAACTGGCTGAATCCCACCACTGATGTTTACAATGATTACCAGATACAAATCTAATTTGTATCAAAGCTCTTCTGCAGCCTTCTTGTTACATATTTTGGAATATTAAATCCAATTAGTATTCAGATTTGGTAGTTATCTGCAATAAAATCTAGTGTTTGTATACATATCTGCATGTATGTATACTGCATGTATATATGTGTATGTGTGCATTATATGTATATAGCAGCGAGACTGACCCACCGAACAGCTGTGAGGAGGGATTTTCAAATTTCAGACCGAGATCAGCTGTTACATCAAAGCCAGAACTAGTGAGGCTAAATGCGAGCGAGCGGGTGGTGGGCATGCTGACCATACGTTCTATGACCTGACCGTTAAAATGGTCACACAAGCTTCCATGTAAGCTCTTCCAATCTTCAGCCCTTACTTTGATGATGTCAACAGCAAGTTGACAAAAGCTCAGTAATAAAAAAGACTATTTTACATCCCGGAGTTCACTAATTTTATTGATTTTAAAAAAAATGTTTACACCTGGGATTCAAGTATTTAGAATAATCAAAGATACAATATGCATATGTGTATATGTATATATGCATACAGTGTGTGCGCGTAATGAATGCATAGTAATACATTCCCCACCATGTTAATTTTAAGGAAAACTAAAAATTCCTAGTGAAAATAATGTAATATTTTTCAGCAAGCCTTTTTGCTGAAGATGATAGAGGAAATCAGTGCAGAAAAACCAAGTCTGGAAGAATGTGGATACCTGATCAGGAGGGGCAAAACCATCTTTTTAAAAAGGACTTCTATTTCCTATAGAAAGGAAACCAATTTGTAACCTTTAAGGGGTAAAACTTTGTCTCTAATATCCAGTTGTAGCAGGATAAGGAATCTGATACAGCAGGGGGAAAATCTATGTTCTACTGACATGATTTCACAAGACCTTATGAGTCACAAAAAAAACCACAGAGACTTTTTAAAAGACTGGAATGGACTTTTTGTTGAAAGAAGAAAAGGCTGAATTGATGATTTATGGATTTGGGAGCCAGCAAGGATTAAAGATGGCAATTGATAGGAGTATAGAAGTCAAAATCCTATGTTTTCACCTTTTTCTTATTATGTGTCTTATTTTTCTTGCCATTTTTAATACTTTTATTGTATTGTACAATTCTAATAGAAATATATTTTAAAAAAATAAAAGAAAAAGGGAATTAGTGTATCCTAAAGTGCTCATTTCCTTTTTCTTTTCTTAGATTACAAGGTAGAATACGAAAGTCTCATGAAACAAGCAAGACTCACGAGAAACATTGCTGTGTGAGTGCTGTTGCTCAAAGCTGCGGCTGAAATATTCTCCTTGGTGTTCTTTTTAAATTAGCACTTAGTAAATACTAACATCATCTCAATCTTTTATTTCCTCCTGAAATACACTTTTTTCCTAAATAATTTTCTACTCTTCTGTAAACCTTGTGTCCGTCTGTCTCCCTCTAATGATGATGAATGGTGCCATTGTGGATACACAGGAATCCAGCATATTATTAATTTTCATACAAGGAATGACTGTGAATATGGGGGGTGGGGGGAGAAGGGCAACTTGCAAAAGATAATGCTGCTCTGGGAAATACCCTGGCATAAAATTCAAAATGCTCCATTCCACTCTTTCTCCGTTGTTGTTTTTCAGTCCTTTTCCCTCAACAGTCCTTGGCTCTGTTTGCACAACCTGACTGACCCAGTCAATCACCTTGAACAACAACCTAACTTTATGCATCAAAGCACACAATTGTGGATGACCTGGCCAGACAGATACCAATTGGAATCAACACCATACTCTTTTTCTGCCCATTTCACTCAGCTGTGCCATTGAAGACAAGAAAACAAGAAACAGGGGTGACATGATAGCAATATTCCAGTATTTGAGAGGCTGCCACAAAGAAGATGGGGTCAAATTATTCTCCAAAGCACCAGAAGGCAGGACAAGAAACAATGGTTGGAAATTGATCAAAGAGAGAAGCAACCTGGAATTAAGGAGAAAGTTCCTAACAGTGAGGACAATTAACCAGTGGAACAGCTTGCCTTCAGAAATCGTGGGTGCTCCATTACTGGAGGTTTTTAAGAGAAGACTGGACAGTCACCTGTCTGAGATGGTATAGGTCCTCTTGCTTGAGCAGACCTCCAAGGTCCCTTCCAGCTCCAATTCTATTCTATTCTATTCTATTCTATTCTATTCTATTCTATTCTATTCTATATAAAATTTATTCATGATCAATTTATTAAACGGAAAATCATCAGTGGTAGAATTCATTTTCCATCAACTCAACACAGCCATCAGAGTTGGGCAGCTAATAAATTTAAATAAAACAACATCAACCATAACAATAATTATAATAATTCTAAGAGCTTCCCACTATTGCCAGACCGTGGCAGAATCATGTCTTCAATGTGTTCCTAAAGGCTGGGAAGATCAAGGCCAGTCTAAGATCTGGAGTGATGAGCCCCAGGGCAGGTGTATGGTGGAAAAAACTCCATTCCTGGGTACACTGATACTGTTCTATAGAAAACACCTATAATATGCCTTCCCTGCTGGTTGTGATGAGATGGGTAGATGTAACCAGGAAGAGGTGATTCGTCAAATAATCCATCCCATGCCGTACAAGGCTTTATAGGTCATAACCAGCCCCTTGAATTGAACCCACAAGCATACGGGCAACTAATGCAGCTTGTGGAGCAGAGGTTTAATATGCACTGATGGGGAAGCACACACAATCACCTGCATGGTTATATTTTGTACCGCTTGCAATGTCTGGATGTCTGCAAGGGCAGCCTCATATAGCATTACAATAACTCATTTGAGAGATGACCAGGGCATGAGTGATTGTGAGCTATCTAGAGCCTCCTGGGTCAAGTACAACATGGTTGCACAAAAGACCTCCTGGCCACGGCTGTCACCTGCCCTGAATCCAGAAGGCTCAGATTGCACACTTGATCTATCTGAGGAGTGCCATCACATCCACAAACAAATATGGTAAATCCCTAGAACCAACAGCCCCCAAACCCAAAGCCACTTATTCTTGCTAGGATTGAGATTCTGCCTTTTGTTCTCTATACAGACCCCCATATTCTTCATCCCAAGTACAGGACTCCAGTAGCATTGCTTAATTTACCAAGGGTAGTTTGTTGAATAAGCCTCGATGCCAAGGTTGTGCCTTCAGTAATTTCATAAATTAGTGTTTACAAACCACAACACATTAAGCCCAAACCAAAAAGGCCTTATCATAGCTTAATGCTATATTGTGGATTTAGCAAATATGTGGACTTTTAAAATCAATTGGAATTAATCACAGCTTCAGAGGAGCTATTTTATTGTTGCATATTCCATAGTTTTTTTAAAACATAAAATGTGTGCCTGTGGGCCGCAAAAGACAGAAGGACCCTGCTTTAAACAACAACAAAAAAGACCAAACATATGCATACAGGCGTACATCTTGTGAAGTGCAAGAGTTCTCAAATTTTATTTTCTGGCAGTTCTCCTAGGGGTGAGGTTTTGTCACTGCTTTTGTTTGGCTTCATCTTTTAAAGGGTAACTTAATCGTAAAATGCACTGCTATGTATCTTTGGAAGCGGGTTTCTGTGCCAAAAAAAAAAAAAAGGCAAGTCTAATTAGAAACACCCATCACAACCCCCCAGTTCTCTGAGGTTTTCTGCCAACTGGAGGCTGCGGATGAGCAACATTGCAGCTAGGCAACTGGAAAAGGCTCCGTTTTGGCCCCAGCTCCGTGGAGGCTTTCTTCCAAGTTATGCTTGTAAGGAATGCGCGAGCGTTTTCACTTCGAAAAGGAAGACTTCCTTGAATTCCGAGAGTGTCTCAATACTTAAGGCGCAAGATCAACAAAGACTAAGAACCGGAGTGGCTGAAAGCCTTCCTGGCATGAAATCTCAATGACAGGAAAGGGATGGTTGCTTAACGATGAGTTCTTGACGACAGAAACCACAGCAGCTACGTTCCCACAAACAGCACCACCAAAAACAAAGCACATTTGGGTTCTCCGTGACACGTGAACCTCCGGCTAGTGAATATATTTATATGACGTGCTTGTGGGCAAATGACTCTTCTTATTCCTCGGGCTCACGTTTCTAGGCTTTTACGACCTACTGAGCCACACACCAAGCGCGGAGGAGGATACGTTCGCGAGATGCGTTCGAATTAAAAACGCGGGTTGGCCCGCTTGGGGTGCATCCTGACGTGCAAGCAACCTTCCCGCTCTTTTTAAATGTGCCACATCCTTTCCTTTTGGGGCGGGCATCCGCGCGGGCGTAGAACGGCACCCTCCACCCGAAACGTGGAAAGCGAACTCGCGCGTTTCCGCGCCTCTAGCCAGCCGCTTGGTGGGCGGCCTATCTGTTTCCGCGCGGGGCCCGGAGTCGGGGGCGAGCGATTCGGTCCGAGCGCGTCCTCAGCGGCGGAGGCTGAAGGAGGCGGCGATAGCGGGAAAAGAAGAGCCTGGCTGTCTTCCTCGAGAGAAGACGAAGGGGGAGGGACGGAAACCCATAAGGAAACCGCAAGGGGATGGCCCGAGAGGCGAGCGAGTTCTCAGGACAGGCAGGGCGGCAACCGATTGCAACGGTATGTCTTGCGGCGGCGGGGGTGGGTGGGTGGGGAGTTGTGTGATAGTGAAAAATCAGGATCTCCTCTGTTAATTTTAAAACTGGATTATTTCCGTTCGTGGACGATTAATGCTCGCATCGGGTTTCTCCCCCCCCCTTTTTTTTTAACGTGGTAGATGAGCGAGCTTATTCACGCGTTCTCTTTTCCGGAGCGCCCGTGCCTCTCTCTCGATTTGTCTGCCTTTCTTGACTTGCTTTCCTTCTGAATTTTAATGCCGAGGTAAGGAAACGTCCGCGAGCCATCAGATCTTCTTGGGGGAGGGGCGGGGGGGGTTAGATCCCACCGACCTGGTAACTTCTCCAACCTACACTGCACCTCCCATCATTCCCAATCAGAAGGGTGATGGACCATGTGAGCTTGCGTAATTAGTTTCGGGGGAAGATTGCTTTTAGTCCAGAGGCTGTCAAAACGTTTTGATCCAAAGACCCCCTTTACCTTCTCAGAAGTGATTGAGGACTTTGGTTTATATTTGTTCACGTTGGTGCATTACAAATTAAAATGGAAGCGTTTTAAAATAATTATTTGATTTTTGCAGACCCCCCCCCCCGAAAAAATCCTTGGGACCTCCAGGGTCAACAGCACCCGTCGAGAGCTACTGCATTTGTGTTTAAGGCCACATTTCCTTCAGCTTCAGAGGAATTTTCAAAAAGGAAATAGTGTAATTTTTTTTTTCTTTTGGAACTGACTGTTCCTCCCCTTCCATTGTGATCACGTCTTTTTCCTGCTTGCTCCCATCCTGCTGAGTTTAAAAGATGGTGGGGGAAACCACTGATTTCTTCCAATATCTGTCCTTTTACTTGCACTTTGCGGCATATGCCTTTGCAGTTTTCTAGCACTGCGAGATATTTAAGCAGGGCTCTATTAAAGGAATACAAACTTGTATTGGGGTATCTCTTAAGTTTCAACTTCCTGTTGGGAATACCTACCCCTATATCCAAAACCTAGAGTGTGTGGCAGCTGCTTATAGGCATGTATTAGCGAGTGGATGATCTTTCCTCCCCTGTTGCTTCTCATGTTCAACAGCTGAGCCCTGGTGTTGAAAACAAGTTCCAGAGCTGAAATCCGCAGAGACCTTTCCAGCCATCAGGTTTTTCATTGGGTCCAAAGTATAAGGTATTTTGGAATATTCCCAGGGAACACAGGAACACTTTATGAGAATGTCTTGCTAAAGGACAAAAGGCTGTTTATTTTAAAACAAATTCTCACACTGAATTTACTCTGTTGGGAAACTCTGTTATCTTACTGAAGAAGAAATCTGAGACCATTTCAGTCAGAAGTACAAAACTGAAAGTGAAGTAATAAGACACTTGCAAACTGGCAGATGCTTTCTGCTTTAATTCATGCTGAACAGCCTCCTTCTCAGTTTTTTGGGTTTGAGGACAATTAACATTCTGTAGAACTTTGCTTTTGGTAGAACCTTGCTATCATATAATTTACTTCTGAGTTATCTACTTCTGGGGGGGAAATTTAGCTGAGAAATAATGCTTGCCCAAGATACCATGGAGTTACTCTGTGTTAAGAGGGGTGGCTAATAAAATAAAGTTGATAAATAAATAAAGAAATCCCTTTATCAGTGTAGCTAAACATGTATTTTTCGTTGTTACGTTCTTTAGAGTTATAGCTGACTCCTGGTGACTGTGGATAAAAAAAAACTGTCCCAGTTGTCCTGATAGCCCAAATAAATAGCCCAAATAGCCGAAAAAAGAGAGACATATATTACACTCCAGTTGTATGTCAGAATCACTGCATGCTAGAGTTCTTGAGGGTGCAGTGGAGTAGTTTCCTATGCTGTGCCTAGCCCCTTCGTGTGCTGTTGACTTCTCCTTCGATCCATCTTGTCCAGCATTATCTTTTCTATCAGTCCTCATGCTCTGTCTAACATGGCTTTTGTATTAGGATCCTTGATTCTAATGAACATCTGAGCTTGATTTCCTCCTTCGTTGTTCCTTTGGGTTGTCCAACAAGCGTGAAGCCGTTTCTTCCAGCTATACAGGAGCAAAACTTTTTCCGAAATTTGTTCCTCCATTGATATAAGCCCAGTGTATGTGGACCATTCTAATATTTGTCTGAAATGTCACTGTTGTTCATGAGTTTATATGCACTCCTTTTTGCGCATCAATCTTTCTCTGTTCTATAACTATCTTTACCAATACTGCAGCCTAGAAAATCAAACTTATCAACCATGGCATTATTTGTCTTAAATTCCTCTAGTTTTCCAGTAGTTATGATCTTTGTTTCCTTGATGATCAAAGAAAGCCCAGCTTTTCACTCTCCTGTTTTAAAATTGTTCATCTTAGCTATTTGCCATTTTTTGCAACCAAGATAGTGTCGCCTGTATGAATGAATTTATTCTCATCCCCTTGTGTATTGCAGATACAAAATAAGAAGAGGTAATTTGCAAACATTTGGTGGTTCCAGTTAACTTTATATTAAGCATGTACAGTAATTTATAAACAATTTTAAACTTAAAAAAAAAAACCCTGGAGAGAAAGAGATGAATCATGCTTAGTGATTTCTTATACCGTTGGATCTTTCTGCCTTAGAAGCAACAAATAATATAGCTCTGGAGAAAACAGTTTTAAAACTTGTCTGGGGAATAGCCCTGCCTTTTTCCTCTGGTCAGTTTTACTTGTCATTGGATCCCTTGCCGTATGACATACTGCAGCTCTAAAAATGGTTGGTGGATTAAGTGCTTGCATGAGCTATCCTAATCTTTACTGCCCGGGGCTTGTCTATGAAGCTTTTGACCTTAATGACCTCAATATAGTATATTCTTTTGGGGGCCAAAAGGATATAACTTCCCCTAAAGTGCTTTTTTTTGGGGGGGACACATGTCTGAACAAAAAAAATAACAGATGCTGGTAGACTCCAGTGCCATTCTGCCACCATAGGGTTATTATGCCAACTCTGCCCTTTTGCAGAAATAAATTCAAATACTGTCCTAATTCTATGTGATTTTAAATAGAAGCTGAGCAGTGATCCTGTTTTTAGGGGAAGTTATTCAGGGGTGAATCTCCCTCCTTCTCCCAGAGATCACAACAAATCAGAACATTTTTCAGAACTTTCTAATTCTTTAGAATGAAGGACCTTAATAAATGTTACTGTTAGAACCAGAGTCCTCTTTCTAAACCAGTCACAGTATGCGGCAAGACCCAGATGACTTTTGCTGATATTGGAACAACTGAGCAGTGTTAGACCTGATTAGTACCTCAGAGGGAGAACATCAGGAAATCCCAGGTCTGAAGATTGGACCAGGAAGTGACAAAGGATTTCTATAGGCTTACCTTGATTTAATTTTAATATAATTTTTCAATCCTTTGGTTGTCTGCCATTCAGCAGATGAGTGCAGTAAAGATTAGAAAATGGAATTCTATGCATATTTTTCCCCACTATAATTTGTAAGGATATGAGTAAATTGATCTGGGCTGCATAAAAATAGTGAGATGGTAATTGTGGGTGGAGCCCCTAGCATAGAGGAGAGCTGCTTGCCTCAACAATTAGGGAAGTGCAGCATCAGTCAGTTTTCCCTGGTAGACTGGATAGGAAATGAGCTAACTGTACTTTATTGTCAGGTTAACGGAATTTTGCAAGTCTGAAAATAAAAATCTCCCACTATTCTCTTCTATAGCCTGAGGAGTTCCTTCTGAGTTTCTTTCTCTGCCTATTATGCACTTGTGGACTCTGCCTTCTCTTATCCCTAGGCAGCATCTCTTCCTTCCCATCAACTAGTCTAGTTTAACGAAGAGAAGGACGAGGGGGGGACATGATAGCAGTGTTCCAACATCTCAGGGGCTGCCACAAAGAAGAGGGAGTCAAGCTATTTTCCAAAGTGCCTGAAGGCAGGACAAGAAGCAATGGGTGGAAACTAATCAAGGAAAGGAGCAACCTAGAACTAAGGAGAAACTTCCTGACAGTTAGAACAATTAACCAGTGGAACAACCTGCCTCCAGAAGCAGTGAATGCTCCAACACTGGGACTGGACAGCCATTTGTCCGAAATGCTGTAGGGCAGTGGTGGCGATCCTATGGCACGGGTGCCAGAGATGGCACTTAGAGCCCTCTCTGTGGGCACATGTGCCATTGCCCCAGCCTTGTCTCCCCCGCGATCCCACCAGCAGCCTCCCTGGAGGAAAGTCGCCCCCAAGTGTGACCCATGCAGAGCAGTGCAGCCAAGGACATGGCAGCAGGCAGCGTAGACAAGACTTTGCCCTCACGCCCCATCGCGCACAGTTGATGCTGCGGGGCACGGGCAGAGGGCGTGGCCGCCATGGCGCTGCTGGGTGATCTGCGGCAGGCCCTGGAGGCGGTGAGTGGCCCTGCAGGCAGGCGAGGTGGGAGTGGAGCAGGGGCAGGGCAGGGGGTGGAGTGGGGCCGGGGCTAGTTTTTGGGCACTCAGTCTCTAAAAGGTTGGCCATCACTGGTATAGGGTTTCCTGCCTGAGCAGGGGGTTGGACTAGATGACCTCCAAGGTCCCTTCCAACTTTATTATTATTATTATTATTATTATTATTATTATTATTATTATTATTATCGATCATCGCACAGTCAGCCAGATGTTCAGACTGGATTTGGCATTTTGTCTACCTATCGAGTCCTTACCCAGGATCTGGGATAGCCAGATGTGGATCTTTGATGGTATTATAGATATTGTCGCAGGATGGAAGCAGTTCCTAATAAGGCCGCCTTTTGCAATTGACTAATAGCGAATTTGTCAATGCCAATTGTGTTCAAGTGGTGCTCCAGTTGTTTTGGGATTGCACCCAAGGAGCCTATGACTATTGGTACTACCCTTGCTTGCTTTTGCCACAGTCTTTCTATTTCTATTTGTAGGTCTTTGTATTTTGTTATCTTATCCAGTTCTTTCTCTTCTATTCTGCTATCTCCAGGCACTGCCACATCCACTATCCAGACTTTTTTGTCTTTCTTATCGACAATTTTTAAGTCTGGGGTGTTATGTTGCAGGTGCTTGTCTGTTTGAATTCTGAAGTCCCAGAGCAGTTTAATTTTATCATTTTCTATGACTTTCTCTATTTTATGATCCCACCAGTTTTTGCTTACAGGCAAATGATATTTTTTGCAGATCTTCCAATGCACCATTGTTGCTACTTTGTCATGCCGCTGCTTGTAATCAGTTTGTGCAATCTTCTTGCAACAGCTTACCAAGTGGTCCACTGTTTCTTCAGCTTCTTTGCATAGGCGGCACTTACTGTCTGTTCCTGTCTTCTCAATTTTGACTTTGTATGCATTTGTCCTTAAGGCTTGGTCTTGTGCAGCCAGAATTAGTCCCTCGGTCTCTTTCTTCAATTTTCCTGCTCTTAGCCATTGCCAGGTTTTATTATTATCTGCTTTCCCAGCTATTTTTTTCATGTATTGGCCATGTAGTGCTTTGTCTTCCCATGCCTCTATTCTGTTCTTCATTTGGTCTTTCTTGTAGGCCAGTTTGGTCTCTCCAGTAGTTAGTAAGCCTTCCTGATATACTAATTTCAGTGCATCTTCATCATTGTTTTTCAGATATTCTTCCAAAGCCATTTTTTCTTCTTCAACCATCTGATGTACTTGTAGCATTCCACGCCCACCTATTTGCCTTGGTAGATAAAGTCTATCAATGTCACTGCGTGGATGAAGGGCATGATTCATTGTCATTATTTTTCTGGTCTGCCTATCCATTGCTTTTAGTTCTGCTTGAGTCCAGTCCACTATTCCAGCTGTGTACCTAATGACTGGGATTGCCCAGGTGTTGATTGCCTTTATGGTATTTCCTCCATTGAGTTTGGACTTTAAGATCTTCTTCACTCTCTTGATGTATTCACCTCTAATCTTTTTCTTGACTTCAGTGTGCTTGATATTGTCAGCTTGAAGGATACCCAAGTATTTGTAGTACTCTTCCTCAGCCAGACTCTTAATGTTATTTTCGTGGGGCATCTTGATTCCTTCAGTTTTCACTATTTTTCCTTGTTTGATAGTAAGTGTGGCACATTTGTCCAAGCCAAACTCCATTACAATATCTTGGCTATATATACGGACAGTGTTGAGCAGCGATTCTATTTCAGATGATGTTTTTCCATACAGCTTCAGATCATCCATATAAAGGAGGTGGGATAGTCTGGCAGATGTTTTTGATGTTTGATAGCCATGTCCTGAGTTATTCAGTATTGTTGACAGAGGAAACAGTGCAATAACAAATAGTAATGGTGATAATGAATCTCCTTGAAATATTCCTCTCTTGATATTAACCTCTCCCAGTCTCTCACCATTGATCTGCAACTGTGTCTTCCATTGTGCCATCGATCTTTGCACAAATTTTCTGATGTTTCTACTGACTCCTGTTATTTCTAGGCACTTTATTATCCAATCATGTGGCAGAGAGTCAAATGCCTTTTTGTAGTCAATCCATGCCACATTCAGGTTGGTCTTCCTTCTCTTGCAGTTTTCCAAGATCATTTTGTCTATTAGGAGTTGATCTTTTGTTCCTCTGCTATTGGGGCGGTTTCCTTTCGGCTCAGGTGGAAAGAGATTGTTTTCAACTAGATGCTGTTGTACTGCATCAGCTACCACACCAGTTAGTAATTTGAAAGTTGTTGGTAAGCAGGTAATTGGCCTGTAGTTACCTGGTGTTGCCCCTTTTGCTGGATTTTTCATTATTAGGTAGGTTTTCCCAGTTGTTAGCCACTTTTCAATTTCTCCTCCTTGTAGTATATTGTTGAACTGTTTGGCAATGAGTGGGTGTATAACAGTTAGATGTTTCAACCAAAACCCATGCAGTTCATCTTCACCTGGTGCTGACCAATTTTTTATTTTCTTTGCTCTTTTTTCTACCATTTTTGTTGTTATTACTAGTTCTTTCATTTCAACTTCTGTTTTATTTGCATCCACCTCTTTTAACCAAGCCGCATCCTTGTTGTATTTCTTTGGGTTATCCCATATCTGCTTCCAGAACTGCACTGTTTCTTCCTTGTCAGGTACTGACTGATTCCTTGCAGTTTCTCCATTGATGGATTGGTAGAAACGTTTCTGATTGGATTGAAATTGGAGGTTCTGCCTATAGTTTGCAATTCGAGCTTCATATCTACTGATTTTCCTGGCTATAGCTGTTATTTGTTGCTTTATTATTTCCAGTGCTTCCTTGATCTTCCTTGTTTCTAAGTGGTATTTCTTGATTAGGTATTCTTTGGTCTTCTTGTTCTTCAGCTTCTTTTCTTTCATCTGTTCTAGCTTGCTTGCATGTGATCTTAACTTGCTGATCTTATTTTCTAGTCTAACCTTCCATTTTTCTGGTGCACTGTTTGTTTGTTTTTCTTCTTTTGTTGATTTTGCATCCCAGGTATTCTGTTATAACTGCAGCTATGCTGTACATTAGTTGGTTTGTTTCTTGCAGTGAATTGGTGCTTATACTTGATATTGCAGTATTTGCATCTTTTAATGCTTGTGCTAGCTGTTTCTTTGGAACAAGCTTCAATGCAGGTAGCCTTATTCTGTTGTTTTTGTGCTGTTCTAGATGCTCAGTTATTCTTTGTTTCAATTCTTTTATTTCTTTAGTTAGAGGGTTTTGTTCTTCCTGAGGAAGAGGTGCCTGGTTTCCAAATGAGAACAGTTGTATATCTCTGCTGGATTCCTTCACTGCCAACTCCCCCTGGTTTGCCTCTACATTCTGAATTACTTCTGGTAAGGCTTTGATTTCTTTGCCCTGGGTAAACCTTTGCAGTTCGTCCAATTCTGTTTCTGTGAATATTTTATTTCGTGTTATAAATCGGTGTTGATCTGCTAGTCTCTGTTCTGTTATTTCTGATTCTGGATGTTGTTCTTTCCAGAACTGGTGCATTCGTTTTAGATATCCTCTTCTTGTTGGACTTGATCTGTAGTAACAGATCATTATTTCTTTGTTTTCCATCACTGTGTATCTGCGACGGGTAAACACCTTTTCTTCCAGTAGTTCTGCAGCTGCTGGCCCTGGTTGCTCAGCCAACAGTCCTGAGTCCTGTAACCCATTTTTCACCAGATATCCAGGAACTCCAATATCTAGTGCGGACCTTGTTAATCCGGGCGACGTCCGAGCCGGTATGGCATTCTGCAATTTACGTCTCACCATATTTTTTATGGGAGAGACACTCTTTGTCTGACTCCTCTGATGAGACCTGTCCAGTATGGTTGAACCTCTGGCATAGCTCTCATCTTCCTCAGAGTACACAAGCCCCACAACCACGTCAAGGTAGTGCCTCACTGGGGGTTGTTGTTGTTGTTATTATTATTATTAGTATTATTATTATTATTATTCTCCGGGTCATTCCCACATATCACTACATCTGCAGAACTGCTCAGGGACAGCTGTAAGAATTCAGTTTAAAGCAGGTCTTCTCTTTATTCAGTCTTGATGACAGAAGCCTTTGCTGTCTTGCTCGAAATCCCAAATCTGGAGCAATGCAATGAACCCCTGACCTTCCGGAACAGCCTAACTGTGCCAGTTAGCGTGGAACCCCAGTGGGGGGAGCATCACAGTGCAAGTGGTTGCTCGATTAACAATGGATCCCACCTCTCTCTGCCATCCTGCTCCTCTTTCCCCATCTTTTAACTGAGCCATGATGTTCTAGATTTTATATTACTTATGTTTTTAATTTATTATATCTATATATCTATATCTACCTACCTACCTATCTTTATATACCTCCCTACCTACATATATCTACCTACCTACCTACCTACCTACATCTATCTATCTATCTATCTATCTATCTATCTATCTATCTATCTATCTATCTATTTAATTTTATGCCTGTAAACCATCCAGAGTTATCTTGAAATAAGCAGCCTATACATTTCATAAATAAATAATAAATAGATAAAATATACAATAACACATAATACCTTCTCCTATATGACTCATACCTATGGGGGCATGAAGTTATAAGCTCTAATTATTATGGAACGGCTAAACAATTTCTAAGATGTTGTAGGGGTTCTTTGGGGTAATCTCTCTTTTACTCCTTCCAAACAAAATAATTAGGATGGGATATGGTTTTTATTAATCACCAGATATACTGACCATATTTTCTTAGAAAAAAAATAAAGGGCAGACCTGAAAAAGGGGCAATTCTGAAGGATGAAAAATGTGTTATTTGTCTTATAATTTTGCTTTATAAAGGAAGGGCAAAACATTACAGAAATGCTTATTTTACAAAAAAATATCTAAAATGAAACGGTATATGTAATATTTTTGAAAAAGGCAGTTCAGTTTCCATATTTTTACATGAATGTGAAAGACGGCATTAAGTGGTACCATTTGCACAGTAAAAGTTAAAATGGTCAAAATCAAGCTTATTTTTTTGAAAAATAAATCTAAAGCACAGATTTCTGAAATAAAGGACTATTCTTTTAAATAAATGACACATGGTCACTGTGGGTATATGTGCTGTTTGAGATTGGGGGCTGGGATTTTTTTCCCTTGGTATGTTCACTTTTTAAAATACAAGTCATGGTTTTTAATTTTTTTTTTTAATCTCTGTAAGCCATTCAGAATTGTGGCCTTGGAAACCTAAACAATAGCAACAATATTTTGCTTATTTATTTCATACATTTATGTTTCATACATATCATGGTTGATTAATAATCATAGTTGGCTGGGTTCCCACAACATGCTTAGACAAACCTAAAGTATTACACAAAGCATTGTGTACCTGAGACCTGTAGGTTAGTTTGTTAGCAAGTCATTTCTCTTGGCCCTGGGATAGCAACAAAGACTTCCCTAAGCAAATTATTCAGTATAAAATGCATGGGGAAAAAATTCCCGCAAGAATTTTATTTATATCCCTATTACTTCTCCACTTTCCACTTTTTCTACTTCCACTAAGTGCTATGGCTATAGATTTGTATTTTTCTTTGACCATTAGTTAAAAGTTTGAAGCAATTTACTGTATTTCTAAGACAGCTCATTGGTGAAAAGCAATTAATTGCACTTAAATGTGCAAAAAAAAAAAAGGCTTTGTTTTGAAAGGAGATGTCATGTTAGCTAAATGGATTGTAAAGTGTAATGTAACTTAACAATGCTATAAAACTACATGTAATACTAGCTTTATTTTTAAGAAGAACTGTAGATATGTTTTTTTTAAAGAAGCTTATAATTTTCTTTTAGCCGAAAAGCATTTTTGGAGAAAGATACCATGATAAATGAATTCATACATTTCTAAGAAAAGAAGCATGAATTAATTACTCCTCAGATACTCCTTCGAGGTAAGCTATCACAGTTGCTAATACCAGTAGCCCTCGACCTACAGCCTTTTGTTTAGTAACTATTCAAAGTTATAATGGCACTGAAAAAAGGGACATATGACTGTTTTTCACACTTAACAACTGTTACAACATCCCCTGTGGTCATGTGCTCAAAATTTGGGCACCCAGCACCAAATTTGTAGCCTTCCCAACTGGCTTTTGACAAGCAAAGTCAGTGGGGGAAGCCAGATTCGCTTAATGACCACACGATTCATTTAACAACTGCAGTGACTCACTTCACAACTGTGGCAAAAACGTCGTAAAATGTGGCGAAACTTAGCAACCGAAAGTTTGGGCTCAATTGTAGTCGTAAGTTGAGGACTGCTTGCATTTACTTTAAACATTACACGTAACTTTTCTATAATTAGAACAAAAAATAAATGTCAGTAAGATAAAACAATATGTATGATAATAGTAAAAATGGCAGTCAATTTAACCATATGCTAAAGCATACAACCATCAGCAGTGCCCAAAAGAGTGTGGAGGAGCATGTGTAATTATAATAGCAAAGAAAACTAAGGTTTATGTGTTTGGATTATTTTTGGCCATTGTTGCTTCACCAGTGTATTTATAGAGACCAAGAACTGGTTTTACGGTGTGACTTAATACATTGTGTTATTGTTGGCACCATCAGAATGCCATTTTTTCTTTTATGAGAAAAATTACACCAGCCGGTTTAGTAGCTAGGCATATTTCTTGTGTGACTTTATGTCCTCCTGTATGCGGGAAAAAAAATGTTCTATTTTTTTTCATCATTGCTCTCATACCTCATATTTTCTTCTTTCAGCTTTTCCTCCTTCTGTTCATTATTACCAGTTTATATATTGCCGGTTTGTATATTGATTGATCATCACAGTAGAATTAAATTCTTTGTTACTTTCTGTTATTTGATTTTTCCAATGAGTCTTTTAATTTCCACACCTTTTTTTAAATTTAACTTTCTCCATTTTATTCTACTTTGGGGTCCTGGATTCACCCAAGGTATTTTGCTGCTCAAAGCCAAGCAGAAAATGATGTCATCCAAGTTGAAGGGCAGAGATGTGACATCGTGTAGGCAATTAGGGTGGGGGTGGGGGGTGGGGGCATCTATTAGATTACAAATCCCATAAATGGGTCTCCCATCCTTGAAAGTTACATTTGGAGGAAACCAATTATTGCTTACTGCCTTTTGGCAGGGATGGCTAGCCACATGTAGGCCATGTGTTGTGCCAAAGTCAAGCACTCTATTAGAATATGCGGTGGCTGAAATTTGGTGACAATATGGCTGATTTGGAACAGCACAACGTTTGGGTTCCTTTTAAAAACAATTGTAGAATTGAGAGTCCATGGCTTCTAAGAAGTACAGGTAGTCCTCAATTTACAAACAATTGTTTAGAGCAGGGTTCCCCAATCCTCAGGCCATGGACCAGAACCAGGCCGTGGCATGCCAGCAACTGGTCCACACAAACAAAAAAGCCCCATCTGTGAGATGCAGGCAGCACACAAAACCACGCACCCTCCAGTCCGCGGAAAACCTCTCTCTACGGAACTGGTCCTTGGTGCCCAAAAGATTGGGGCCCTCTGGTTTAGAGACTGTTTGAAGTTACAACGGCACTGAAAAAAGTGACTTACAACCGTTTTTCACACTTAACGATCGCTGCAGCATCCCTCATGGGCCCGTGATCAGAATTCAGACCCTTGGCAACTGGCATGTATTTATAACAGTTGTGATCCCCTTTTGCGATCTTCTGACAAATAAAATCAGTGGGGAAATCAGATCACAACTGTGTCACTGACTTAACAACTGCAGGGATATTTCTAACAAACTGTGGCAAGAAAGGTCGCAAAATGGGGCAAAACTCATTTAGCAATGTCTCGCTTGGCAACAGAAATTTTGGGCTCAGTTGTGGTCGTAAGTCAAGGACTACCTGTAGTGGGTTATTCTTTTGCCCTTTAATTCTTCACACATGGCTAAAATTGTGTTTTATCGATCCTGGCCCATCTTGCATTGAAAGAGCCGAGGTGGCGCAGCAGTTAGGGTGCAGTACTGCAGGCCACTTTAGCTGACTGTGTCCAGCAGGTCAGCGGTTCAAATCTCACCAGCTCAAGGTTGACTCAGCCTTCCATCCTTCCGGGGTAGGTAAAATGAGGACCATTTGGGGCAATGTAAATATATATATATATATATATATATATATATATATATATATATATATATACACACACACACATTGCTTACTGGTGTACACCGCTTAGAGAGTGCTCGCACTTAAAGCGGTATATAAGTCTCATAAATGAATGAATGAATAAATAAATAAATGACCACCTTCCCACCATCCCAACTGTTAATAGGAGACAACAATTGCTTTTGAGTTGTTTTTCTGGTTGGGGGTTTTTGCGTTACAAAGTAGCGTTGCTGTAAAAATTAATTCATTCTCCTATTGATAGGAGGAATACTGGTTACCAACCCCCTCCCCCCCCAAAAAACCCCCGAAGAACAGATACAGATTGCTTTCCCATGCAAAAAGAAACAAGCCATTTTCCCTTTGCACCGAAATAAGTTTGTTTCCTTAATTTGGTTGCATATCCAAATACTCTCATTTGAAACCAGGGTATTTGCTGACACTGTTAATCAGAGTTGTTAATTTCCTGTACCTGGGATTTCCAGTCCACACTGCAACATTAGATATAATAAAGTGTGCTGTACTGTATGAACAGGGCCAATTTCTCCCCGCTTGTTTGGTATATTTAACATCACAGACATCACAGTAGTCTGAGTGATGTTTTGGTCATGTAAAGAGAACCACAGATCTGCCCAGATGGTTCCATTGTTGAGGTGCCCATTTTTATCCTCTCTTCACCTATGACAGTGGTTCTCAACCTTTTTAATGCTGCGACCCCCAACCGGTCGTAAGTCGAGGACTACTCAACCGGTCGTAAGTCGAGGACTACTCAACTGGTGCAGCACCGTTTGCAGAATGGGACTTTTGGCGGGCTCAGCAGGGCAGAGACAGCCTGGACAATTTCTATTGGATTTTGAAAGCCAATAGAATTAGACTCTATTCAACAGAGTCTATTCTATTGGCTTTCAAAAGCCAGTAGAATAAAAGGGAGTAGCACAGCTAAGGAGAAGGGGAAAAAAAATGGCGGACTGCGTTGTTTGGCGACCCCCGTGAAATGGTCGTTCGACCCCAAATGGGGTCCCGACTCACAGGTTGGGAGTTCTTAACGTGGATGTCTACATTTTTTATATATGTCATTTTTATCCATCCAGAGTCACTTCTGGTGAGCCTATATAAATTCAATTAATAAGTAAATTAAATAAATGATTGCAGGAGCCTCCTTATCTCCATTCTTAGCTCGTTTCCTTTTTAGCCTGGAGTTACTGTTTGGCGGGCCTCGTCTCCACATGGATGTGTTTTCCAGTTAACACAGGGATGAAAAGGAAAACGGCACTTTCATGGAATCCAGTAAAACAGAGCAAAATTTCTCCCTGCGATCGATATAAACATGCTTGCTGCATCTGTAGGGGGTTCCTTTATGTTTATGGTGGCCGGAGAAATACTAGCTTGAGTGATTTCTGGAGATTCAAAATAGGTAAGGTACGCTCTTTCTGGTTTTATTGTGCTATGAAAAGAAATGCCTGAAGCTGCAATCATGCAATCCTGTTGGAATATTGCTGTTTTTGAAACAGGCAGAGACTATTGAACAAGATAATCTGGACTGTTTTAATAATATAATTAGACATTCAATGAGGTGTTATATGGCCACCATGGATCGGTTATCAAATCCATTTTTATTTATTGTTTTTGTTGCCTTCGCATTACCTTGTATGAAGAGGTGACCAGCTAATGCCCATTGGAAACAGATGGCTAGCCTTAATGATATAATCCAGCAAGACCTCACTTACTACAGCAGTGGCTGAAAAAGTAATGTATCTAAAATGGTAGGCTGCTATACAGCTAGTCCTTGACTTACAACAATTTGTTTGGTGACTGAAGTTACAACGGCACCAAAAAAAGTGACTTATGATCTTTTTTCACACTTAACAACCACTGCAGCACGATCAAAATTTGGGTGCTTGGCAACTGGCAAGTATTTATGACGGTTGCAGTGTCTCGGGGGTCACGTTATCACCTTTTGTGTCCTTTGGACAAGTAAAGTCAATGGGAAGCCAGATTTACTTAACCGATTCACTAACTTAACACCTGCAGGGGTTCACTTCACAATTGTGGCAGGAAAGGTCATAAAATGGAGCAAAACTCACTTTTAACCACTTTCTTGCATAGCAATGCAAATTGTGGGCTCGGCTGTAGTCGTATGTTGAGGACTAACTGTAATAGAATAATAGCTTTATACCTGGGAATAGAGGAATGCTGGTTTCATAGTGGGAATGGAAATGATCCAAATTGGATTTTAAGAATACTTGATTACAACATGAGAACCCTGGGACTCCACAGGATACTTGACTGTGCCAAGAAGATAGGGCTGAAGTGATGTTTTCAAAATGCAGCCAAAAGGAGTATAACTCTTGAGCCAATTCTTCTCCTCCCTCTCTAATGTCAAACACATCCTGTGTTCTGATGTTATCCCCTATATTTCTTTGCAGATTGCTAGTGGCGGGACGAAAAAATGAAAAAGATACTAGGAGGCATTTGAACTGCATGTTTAGCTAAGTGTTCAGGAAGGGGAAAAAAAAACGGAGCTATTCTTTGGGAGGGCCCCATACATCCAGGATGTGATTTGATTTGCAGAATCTGCTGGTAAAGTTGTAATTCCCAAGGAGAAATGCTAATCAAAAAGCTGCCTTGATATCATCGTATGCTTTCTTTCTACTGTAGTGAGCAATGAATGGGAGAAACTGGACAATTCAAACGATGGCCCGGAAGAACTGGAAGAGCACACAATGGTGGATTATCAGGCAAGCTATATTAGCCAATTAGCTATAAATCACTGTACAGGTAATCTCTGTCTTATGATCACGGTTGGGACAGGAGTTTTGGTTGCAGATGATTGTAGTTGTAAGTCAAGGTAGGCATATGTCTGGAGCTGATTTTTGGGCCATTTTTACCATGGTCATTAAGCAAATCTTAATGACCATGGTAAAATCTTGTAAATCTGAACCATGAATAGGTGAATCATGTAAATAGATGAATCATGTTTTCTTAAGCAAATCCATTCTACTAAATGGGTGAGGTTCCCCCCCCCCTGAAAATAGCAAATAATGCTGGAAACTGACAAAAAACATTGCAAATCATGGGTTATGTGATTGGTAACTGGTTGTAAATTTATTTATTAATTTAAAAGTTTATATAAAAGTTTGAAATCAATAAATAAATTTATGACCAGTTACCGTATCCCATGACCATGTCATTGTCACCCATCTTATAATCAACTCTGGATGGCTTCCAATCAAAATAAGTGTGAGCTGAAATGCAGTCTTGATATGAGTGCTGAGGGAAGGGGATGGCATAATGTTTGGGGATAGCCAGAGCTGAAAGTGCTTTATGGGCTATAAAACACCCCTTCAGAGACTGTCGTAATTTTGAATGATTGTTAAATAGGCAGCTGTTGGGGCTACCTGTAGATTGTTTCCCCTTTTTACTGGCATCTCTTTTTTTTTTTGTAAGATATTTTATTGATTTTTTTAAAAAAACATAAATCACTTAATAATTGGTGAACAGTCTGGGTTACATTTGTAAAACAATCACTAACAATTGATTTCTATAATCCATAATCCACACAATAGTTTTAGTTGATTTCTTCTTTTCCCAAAATATCCTCTTTTGCAAACATTGAGTTAATACAATTTTTATTGTTTTGATAAATAACAATTAAGTATAATTTTTTTCCCAATAGTCTAGTCCTTTAACTCTCATTCAAAACATTTTTATCCATTATAGTTTTCTTAAATTCAATCACATTTATATATCTAAAACATTTCCTTTATCTAATTATCATTTCAACTTTTTTATATTACTCATATCAAAAAAGAGGACAAAAAAGAGAAAAAAAGCATACTATATTATATTTAGAGAATTCATCCCTCTTAGAGTGACATATATATTCCAAAACCTTTCTATTTCTTTAACCATATTCAAACAAATGTTTCTTTTTTAAGTATTCTCTCTGCTAAGTCCCATCATCCACAGAGAGAACCGGTTGTTCACATATTTGAATCCCACCACTGGTCTAGCCGTAGCCCCCTGCTTCAAGTTAGGAATATCTAGGGGTTGTGTTTTTTTTCCCCTCCAGCAGCTGAAGGATCTCTCCTTTCCCTGTAGCAGGATTTCCTGCAAGTCAGCTAAACTATTATAAGGAAGTGTTATAAAGGCTAGGACCCTTTTTAGATTGCAAAGTGGATTTCTTCAAATTATGTGCACCTAGAAAGTATTGTCTGCTAATGTCACTTTTCTCCTGTTTACATAGTCTCAATTAGCCATAACCTATTACTATCACTACAGCTGTGATTAGGTTTGTGATAGAGAGGGAATGATGAATGTTGCCAGGATTGGACACCCCTTGGCTAAGATGAATAATCAAATATATTTTTCTAAGACCACTTTTTTTAAACCTTCTGGAACAGTAGCTCTTGTGCAGAAGTTGCCAAAAAGACTTTTCAGGCAAGTAGCTTTTTTTTTAAAAAGCCTCTTTTCCTGGGTATCTTATATCATCTGCCAGACTGGTACCATAGTTTTTGCCAACCAAATGCTTCCAGCAGTTATAATTCACTAGAGGTCCACTTTGATTGGCTTGTAGAACCCAAATGGTATAATCTAAAATATTATTAGATTTTAGGGGCTGGGTGGGCTGGGCTTACTCAACTATAATAATCTCTGTGTTGTAGCTTTAATGAAGGAAACATTTCAATCAACTCTATCACAAGTAGCATTTTGTATAACACTGTTAATAAAACACTATCAATACCTGTATTTTGAAGTTAACATGTTTTAAGTAAACAGTTTAGGTTTTAATCCTTGATGAAAAATGCACTGTCACTGGTTATTGTAATGAAAGGATTTGAATCCATTCTTTGCTTCCCTTGCTGATGGGCTAGACCAGGGGTAGGCAACCCTGGCTCTTTTATGACTCATGGACTTCAACTCCCAGAATTCCTGAGCCAGCATAGTTATGCTGGCTCAGGAATTCTGGGAGTTGAAGTCCATGAGTCATAAAAGAGCCAAGATTGCTTACCCCTGGGCTAGCGACGCTAGAAGATCATAGTGAAACATGGTTGAATATTTTTGATGGCATGGCTTTGAGAAGAACATAAAACCATTTGATACCAGCATACAGACAAGTTATAATTTGCAGTGCTCCTTGATATTGTTATATTAGCTTGAAAATATTTGTACTAAGCTTAACCAAGAAATGATGCTTTCTGCTGAGGTTCAGCTTAAGAATTTGGTTTGAATCTTGCACTAAATGGCAATGAACTGAAGAAAATGCAAATGTGATTCACTGGAAAATAATTGTTATATTTGCAGGATATCCTGTATATCTTTGGTGGAATGGTGGATTCAGCTTTCACACAGAAGATAAATCCTTTATGGATGTATGACACAGGTGTGGAGCAAATTTTATCCTTCTGATATATTTATGCATGTATTTTATAAATATGTACTAGTTTGTATTAGGGTGAATATTCTGAGAAAAGACATATATTTGATGAGCATTTTTATTCAAGTACCGCCTATTCTGGAAAAGGTGATAGATGAGGAACAGATTAATATATCAAACCAATATTTTTTCTTCCTCTTTTTGAATGCTTAAATGGCGATCTAAGGAGATACTGTACATACTGTACATCTGTGGAGATTCTCAGTCATCCAGGTCATAGTTGTTTCAAAGGTGCTTTTTGAAAAGGCAACTGGATAGTTTTTTCTTTCCCTTGAGGAAGAAGAACACCCCACCCCCACCCCCCCATCACAACTGATGAAGCTTCTTGGATGAGAAACAAAATGCTTTCTCCTTCCTCAAGGGAAAAAAAATCCAGTTGCCTTTTGAAAAACCGCTTTTGAGTATAGATACTGTATTTTTTTTTCCCCTCAGAAGCTGAGTCAGACAAATGCTCTGTCTAAAATTGAGCTAACTTAGACTGATACCCTGAAATCTGGGAATCAAGGGAATTGTCATCTGACACACAGGAAGAGCCCTAGATTGTGATGATATTTGCCTGGTGCTGTTTAGAAACAGTTCCTAAAATGAAGAGAACATTGCCATTCGCTGTCTTCTGAGAATTGTGTTTGGAGCTGTATTTACTGTATATTGTGTGTTGTTGGTGAAGGAAATACAGCCTGCAACTTTTCCTGTCATCTCTCCTTTGGCAGTGTTTCTCAACCTTGACCATTTTAAGGCATGTGGACTTCAACTCCCAGAATTCCACAGCCAGCAATGCTGGCTGTGGAATTTTGGGAGTTGAAGTCCACATGCCTTAAAATGGTCAAGATTGAGAAACACTGTTTTAGTGCTTGCGTAGCACTGCAAGTAGAACAGTAGCACCTTCTTGTGGTTAATGCTATGACTGACATTTTATACACCTGCAGATGCAACCAAGTGGATACCCTGCCGCCTCCCAGCAGTAGAGGGTGAGGTAAGGAATAACAAAACTAAATATAGTGAATCATCCATGAAATCTGTTGCTTTGTTGATCAAATAGCTTGCTTGATTACAGACTTTGAAAACTGCTTCAGACTAGATGAGCCATAGCCATAAGGTAGCAGAGTAAGTTTAAGATGCTGCTGTTTTTGGTTTTCTGGGACGTTCCCATTATTCACATTTCCCATTTGGAAATGAACCTCTTTAATTCTGAATGTTGAAATAAGAATGGCACTTTGGCTACAATTACTTTTATGTATGCAGTTATTCCACAGATTAAATTCCTTGTTAGTTCCTGGAGTTTCCTCATAACCAATCTGTCTCACCTTCCTTTCCCATCCCCCTCCTCTCTGCAATTTAAATCCTGTGTCAGACTAGCCACTCTATGCACGTATCGAAGTTAGCTGTAGCTCACAAAAGCTTATGCTTTTTAATACATTTTGTTAGCTGGCAAAGTCATACCAGACTTCTTGTATTAAATGTGGAGTCTGTGCTTGGGAACCCAGGGAGCAAAAGGCATCTGCACTACTACAGTTCCGATTCAGACCAACCAAAAGAGCCCCATTCAAATCCTAGCCTCTAAAGGTGCATGGGTTTGTGGGTGGGTCTGGGCAAAACTTATGTGGAGCATCCATGCATCCCTCTACTTTCCTTACAAACATGATTTCACAGACTTAGCCAGAAGTTATATTTTGAGTTTTGACTTCCCATTTTTCTTTCTGTTTAGCCGTGGAAGGAGAGAACATCATCTATATGTTGTAGGAAACTTTCAAGTCATTTCTTCTCCCTTCTCCGCAAAATAGTTTTAATATATAATAATAGATCTATAGAATCTGTCTATTTTCCATCTGTCTCTTTATATCTACATACACATGCACGCTCATGCTCTTAATTTATGGAGATGTTCAGTCATTTGAGTGGGAGTGGTGCAATTCCATCTGTAGGGATACATGTAAATTGGAAAGGAACACTATTTTTGAAGGATGTTGCTAAAATGTGAACTGCTTGGGAGGACCTGTGAGTAGACCAGTATGAATGCCTTAGGATATCCGCCTGGTTTTTATTGGTGTGATGGCAACAGTAATTAAGGATGGTTGCTCCATTTTGTCTTCTCTCTCCATCTCTAGCTTCAAGTTCCTGTTAATCGGAAGGGCCATAGTGCAGTAGTCTACAGGGGCAACATGTATATATATGGGGGATACATTGACATTAAAGGTGCTTCCCAAGAATTCTGGACCTTTAATTTTGGTAAGTTAAACTTTCTCAGCAGTCACATAGCGTATAATGGTAGATGTGAGCAAAAATGTATTTTATCTATTTAAAAGGTAATGAACTCTATTAATCATCTCCCTTCAGATACAAAACAATGGGCCCCTGTATCAGTTGCATCCAGTGGAGGTAGCCCAGGTCCCCGACATGGTCATTCTGCTGTGGTTTATAGCAATGGCATGTACTTGTTTGGAGGATTAATGGGACTGAGCGAACAGAAGGACTTCTGGATGTGGGATTTTATAGCCACCAACTGGTCCAGTATCAGGAGAAGGTAACTGAAAGTACTTTGTTTAAGGGGTGAAGATAAAACTGTTTTTCCCCTGCCAATTGTTCCTAGAGCCACACAGAAAAGCAAGTCAGTCTTTTACACTTTAGCCCATGAAGACTAGCATCACAACGTTCCAGTTGTTAGCTGGGATTTACAGATGTTTGCCCATCAGTTGAAAATGGGGAGAGGGTTGTCTAAAGGGGACTTGAGTGGCATGGGAAGGCACAGGCAGGAAAAACCCTGATACAGAGTTGAAGTTTCTAATATGAGTACCTTTGGAAGGGAGTGGGTTTTTTTTTTTTTTAAAGAAACAAATGCTTTTGATTACATGGTTCATTCCTTTTATTTGGGCCATTGCCCAGTTATGAAAGGACAGTATTTGCCTTTTGGAAAAGAAATACTGAAGTGACAGAAGTATCATAATAGCCAGGACTGCATAGAGAAGAAAATTTAAGGAGCATGGACAATATTCCCATGCATTTTAACAATACCTGAACGCATAATTTATGGGAACTGTTTGGGGTGGACTCTAGAAAGTGTTTCATGACTTTTCCATGCATTAGCCTGACTGGAGAGAAGCATTGAGAAGTTGAGCTCATTTTGATGAGCGTAAGTCTCACCCTTGTGCTGATTTATCTCTGCTGTCTTTGCCTCCAGCCAGGGACCTCCAAGAGTGGTGGGCCATTCTGCTTTAATCTTGGAAGATTCCATGTTAGTCCTTGGCGGAGGCCTTTCTAGCACTAAGCCAAATAGTACTTTGTGGCATTATCATTTTCCATCTCAAATGTGGGAAAAATTGCCTAGCCCAGCGGCACTTTCATCCAAAGCATACCATCAGATGCTGGCAACTGGATTTGGTTTCCAACGGGCTGCTGATTGCCCACTGAGATCCCTTGGTTGCCAGAAGCCTAAAGAAAAGGGTTGTTCCAAGCTACTGACTCTTTCTAAACAGCACACCTGTTTCTGTGAGCATCTTCGCAACGAGCCTACATACCAGATACTCAACAATGAGGGTGGCTCCGACATAGAAATGAAAACTTTTTGCCAGTCTTCAAGGGATTCTCTAGAATTCTCTTCCTATCAAACCACATCCAATGCAGAATTGAATTCAGATCCGGCAGCAGAGTGGCTGTGTAAAGAAAGAACCTCGTATCTCAACATTGCCAAGGAACATCTCAACATTGCCAAGGAACAGGACTTTGCCACCATGGATCTAACAGATGGAGGGTCAAGTTTGGGCTCGCTGAAAAATGAATGTGGAGACATTTGTGAATCCTCTGTTGTGATGCTACTTGTTGGCGGTAGACCTCTTTCCAGCTCCTCTACAATCTTATTTTGGCAAATTGAACTAAACAGAACTTAAATACCAGACATGCCTAGGCTCAGTGAAGTCAGCACCTAAGAAGAACCACTTGACAGTTCTTGGTTACAACTGCATCATGAAACCTAAATTCACATTTTGGATGACCCTGAAATACACGGAAATCCATAAAACATTTAGCGTGAGATTTTTTTCAGCTCTTTGCTGTGTAGGCAACTTGGGTCTGCAGATGTAGATGAGGCGCCATGATTAGGAAGCAGCAACAGCAGTCATTGGTTGCATTCATTTCTTTATGTGTGTGTGTGCACCATTTCAAAGCCCTTTGCAAATTGCCTGTATAAAGGATGCAGTAAAATAATTCCCAGGACTAGCTAGGTAATCATAATTCAATTCAGTGGCTGTGTTGGCATGACAGGCTTACATGCTTATGGAAGGAAAACTTAAAATTTAACCATCATTTATTCAGCAAACCCAATATTCTACATTTGCACTGCAAACTAATCTTGTGGATTCTGATTAGTTAGATTAACAATTGTTTGGCTACCTAACAGGCTAGCGCAGGTGCTTGCACTCTCTATATTCTTGAGTTTGCAGTTGAAATGATATTTGAACTGTATGTGTGTTTGTTTGTTGGCATATGCTTAGCTGTTGTACTGCACTGTTTAAAATTGCATTTTCCTTAAATAGGAAACTCATCAGGCTCCTATATTAGCTCCTCCAATACAAGTTAAAGTGCCAGAACCATATAATTTTATAGATCTATAAGAGTCATTGTGTCTGTTCCAACACAGTTCAGACAATCTTAATTCATATGAAATAAGGTTCTCCAGTTGTGGCTTTTTCTGACCCTACTACCTAGAGTAGCAGCATGCAGGCAATTACTTATACATTACCGCACTCTCCCTTCATGAATATGTAATGCATGACATCAGATTATTAGTGTATCTTTTCTATATATTATCCTCTTATCATGTCCCTTACTAGGCATGGAACCACTGTTCTGGAAAACGTAAGCACAACTGGGCCTTACATATGTCACACAGAAATAATTTGATGTTCCCCAGTGATGCTTCTTGTGGTTTTTTTTCCTGTGAAATTCACATTGCCAAGAATGCCTAGACATGTTTGTTTCCAAAATCATAGCCGAAGGATTTTGGCAAATAGCCAGCTATATAGTGAAGTTTGGCATTGAGAGTGAAACATGGATTGTCAACTTTTCAGTCCAGGGAGAGGCAGTTTGTGCAGCATAGAAAGGGGAAAATGATTTTCAGCTGGCCTAGTATTTTACTGATTTAATGTTACTAGTTTGGCATAAAAATCCACATTGGATTGACCCTCTCTCTGTGTCATTTCATAGACATGTCTATGTAGTTTCTGTGACAAGAGTATAAAAGAGTTTTGTCCTCATTTTTCTTCTTTCTGAACTAGCTCTGGGATTTTCCTGGTAGCCTCTTATCCAGATTCACTCTGGAAATTTGGAAATCAGCAAAACCATTTAAGCATTTGCTCCTTTTTATTTTTATTTTGTACCATCAAAGTGATTTTGTCAGAAGTGATTTTGCTAATAGTCATTCAACTGCAGTCTATATGAAATATGTTACACAGTGGGAAAATGATCCTTTGAAGTTACCCTTTCTTAATTTTTGAGAGAAAATAAATCACAAAGTATACAGCATCAGGAAAAGCCTGAATGGTGCCTTTTTGATAATTTTATCTTAAGCAAATGTCTGTTTTATATGCTACAAAAATAGTTATATGAATTATATTTTTATACTGCATGAATTCTTATACTAAAACTAAATTATAGTGGCTTAATTTTGTATTTATGTTATTCACTGTTCTTTTACTTTGTTAAAAATATGTATTTCTGATTTTGTAACGGTGGCATATTGAGCCAAAAAAAAAAAAAAGCCAAAAATGTATGCTCGCTGAATGATTTGCAGCTTGGCTGGAGAAGACTGAACACTTGACATGTTGTAAGACATATTTCCTGTAGCTGTACAGCTGGGAAACAAGATGAGTGGTTGATCCTTTATTTTATGCTGATTGGTATGCTCATTAGGGATGAAAAGTCAAATACACTGCCTTCCTTTTCTCTCCTTATTGCAACTATTTTTAACATTCACTTAGGTTATCACCAGGAAGGAGAAATGTAGGGTCACTTCTGCTGTGAAAAGCAGGATATTACCCCAAAGCAGGATATCCTTAAGGATGCAGAGGATTTTGTCAGCATTCTGAAATACGTGGATCAGCAGTCCCTAATGCTAGCGCATTGTTCTGCTAGAAGAAAAACACTTAAGCAGACATTTTGTACAATTGTGTTGTATTTAGAAATAAGCTACAACTTTCCGACTGATTCCAAGTGGTCTACAAATCACAGTTGTTGTTCCCTTATACAGTGTTTAGCGCAATCATTCTAGCATAATTTTTACATCTGGCATTACTTATTACACACACACACACGCACGCACAAATACTTAAAAAAATAAGTTATACTTTGAGCAACTACATCATTTAAAAAGATACAAATACAGTTGTTAGTCTGAGTTTTTTCTTTAAAAAAATCAAAATAGTAGTTCTTACATACTTCATAGTAAGTTTGTCCAATTAAGGGAGAACATGTGAAAACAAAGGAATCTGTAATCAAAACATTAATCACATTAGGAATGTTATGGCAGAATGCTCTGTAGTCACTCCACATGCATTCTGTTTCACAGAGAATGGGTGACCATTTTGCTCCAAGAGGAATGTTAATGATTAGCGTTAATAAGAGAAGTCAAACTGTTCCGCCTCAATAATCACAGAAACTTTAGTTATGGAGCAACAAGGTGGAACAACAAGGTGTGTTCCACTTGAGGCATCTTTTTCCAGAGACACAAGTACTGTAACGTGTGACATGTGAAGAAATACAGACAAATCTGAATGACTTTCGGCTTTATGCATGTTGCAGGCAAATTGTATTCGTAGGAATAACTTCATAATTACCTTACTGTAAGCTGGAAGAAAGGCTTTAGGAGTCAAACAGGATTGTTGTTAAAAATACAAACTAACTTAAGCATCTGTGGACAGCTTGAGAGTGAACAGTAAATAAACGCAAATTGCAATTTTGCATTCATTAGTCAAAGCAAAAGAATCTGCTGTTTTGGTCCATTTTAATCAATCACAAGAGATGCTAAGGCAGTTTCCAGATGCCCCATTAGAGACCTGAAGCCTGCAGTGGAGGGTGCTCTATTGATGAAAGGCTTTTAGTTCTTTGTGTGATAGCTGTAATTTCATGTCTTTGTACATATCTGCCAAGAAGACTTTACCCACAGATAAATGTGGTGCCAATAATAATAGTATTCCGTTTTCCATACCACATTACAGTTTCCTTTTTTTTTTAAAAAAAAAAAAAAAATGAAAATAGGTTATGTGTTTTGGAAAATTCTGTCAGTTAAATGAGTAAGGATCAAGTCAGTAAATATATTGCCAAACAAGGCAGTGATACTGTAATGTAAGAGCAATTCCCAACTTAATTTCTTTCGTTTTTGTCACAGCTGTGGTAAAATAGGTCAGTAAAATAAAATGACAACAGCTGTTGGATTATTATTATTATTATTTAAGAAAAGGTCAGCATACAGCAAGTGGTTAGGATTATCCAGACAATTCAAGATAGCAAAGCTAACTTTCTGCATAATAGTCAAACAGTACCATGTTCTCCAACCTCTATTCATCTCTACATCAGGAGCTAAGTGTCATCCTAAATATTCTCATCCCTTGTAAAAATATTGGCAAGGTTCATAAGAGCATTGGGTTTACCTTGGCTCAGGGAAATGTCTGAGAAATCAATAGCCAATTAAATGTTACCTAAGCTATTTCAAAAGCCATGCCTCCTGAGTTCTGGAAATCAGGATATGTCCTATGGTTATTGATACTAAATTATTTGCCTCAGTATCCCCTCCCTCTCCCCCACTCTGGTTACCATTATATTTTATGGAGCAATTGCTTAAAACAGTATTGCAGATCAAAGCAAAGTAGCTTGTGTTATTTCACAAGCGGCAACCAGCTGTGAAAGAGAGTATGTATAGTGAAGTGATGTACACTCTGTTTGCATTTTTAACATCACTTCCACTATGAAAGAAGCTTTTGACGGAGGCCTTTTGCTTTTCCTTTCACAGCTCATCCAAAAAATTCATGCACTCAGGTTTCTTTGCTTTCTTGCTTAAATTCTGACAGGTTTTCCATCAGAAACAGATGGAGAAATAGCTTAATGCACAGCAAGCAGAGCCGTTTTGGAAGAAACAGAATTAAGATGTTGTACAATTTTCTTGCTTAGTTTGAAAAGGGACAGAAGATGCAGGATGAGTTTGATAGCTGACCCATAGGAATAAATCTTCTGCCCAAGCCCAAGAGTACTTTTTGTTTTCTGTTTTCAAAAATTCCAAGCATAAATTAAACTCAGGATTCACTTAAGTTTTTTCCTCCTGAGTTTGTAACAGAATATAGGTTTAGTTCAAACTTGTTCAATCAGCAGTTTAGTGGGCAAAAAGGAAGGAATCCGATGTATAAATAGCTACTTGTCTAACATAGGAAAGTTAGCACAATGTTAGTATATTTTGAATTTTAATTTTCCAGTCATGCACAAAAAACATTCGAACTACAAGATTATTGTAGACTTGAGGAAAGGTACAGAATGGAGCACACAAAAAAGACAGTAAATTCTAACTGTACACATTTTGAAAGCCTCAGATTATTTCTGCACAAACCTTAGAACTGTCCAAAAAATAGCTAGTGGAAAGCCCGAAGAAGACTAGCCCTTCCAGCTAATCTGGCAGAAACTAGGTTCACTGATAGAAGAGAAGAATATCTGTAGCTCAGGGCTGAGCGGTGGGGTGAATGGTGGGTTCCTTGGTGCTTCTCTGAGCTTGGTTGTTTTCTTGCAGACATTTCATTACCAAACTAGATAACCACATCAGTGCTAGAAAGCAGAAGGTTTTGCTCTCTTTTTATTTATTAGGGTCTTATCCTGCCAAAAAAGACAATCAAAAAGTCAAAAAAAGAAACCTAAAGACTAAAACAGCTCCTCGCCAGCAATTAATACACAGATGATCAGAAATTAACACCAGACTAACAATGAAGAAATAAAGAAAAACCCCAGTCCAGGAACTACCACCTCAGAGAAACAAGCTAATAGCAAACAACAGCCTAATCAAGAAACCACAAAGACCAGTCCCACCAACACCGACAGGGCAAGAGAACAAATGTCTGCAAGAAAACAACCAAGCTCAGAGAGCACCAAGGACTCCATACTAGATGTGCTCTCTACACCCTGCAAATATTTTAGTGACTGAATGGAACAAAATGTGAAAGTCTTTCATCCAAGGCTAATAGTAGCCTTGACATGTTTAATAAAACATTGTTTCTTTCCTCGTGAGAGCATTTGCCAGCAGAATAAATTGCAATCAAGGTGCTACATTTTCACTTCCATATATTGTTAGCAAAAGTGTAGACTCTTAAGATTAAAGTCAAGAACGTTTGCTAGATAATACAGAAGAAGATAAAAAGAGATAGCCACAAAAAAGTACTGTAAAATGCCATTTTCTTTTACAGTCACCACCAGCTTCCCCATTATTGGGTTTAAGTGAGAAAAAAAACAGCTTATCCCTGTGAGCATTTTCATTTACACCTATAAAACAGCAAGGAATTCTCTAGCAAAAGCATTATGGTAGATGAAAACCCTGTGGATTTCATGACATCTCAGAATTTGTTCCCATATATTTTGCAAAAGATACTCAGGTTTCCCAGCAGCTCTGTGTGCTATAATCACACTCTTAGTTCCAGTTGAAGGATTTACTGTAAAGCAACCATTCTTTGTTAACCATGGCATGAACATGGCTTAATTTCAGGTAAGTCCTTTGCAGCGGCTCACTAAATATACTAGGAAATGAGATTTGTTGAAGCTCAGAGTTCAGTGGTGAGTAAACATTTCTGCTGTGTAGTATCTTCAGTAACCGGACTGAAAAGAAAAAATATATATATATATACATACATAATCTTGGGTGGATGATGAACAGAAAGCCCATTTTGGAATCATACTGACTGATGTTAACTTAATGGTCAAGTGGAAAGCAAACAATTCCAAACAAGTTGTGATGTCATCTAGAATTCCCTGTCTGGGAAGGAGCTATAGGTTTTAAGCAGAATCTCCCTGAGGGATGCTTATCTCATCATGTAACCCAGGGGTAGTCAACCTTGGCTCTTTTATGACTCGTGGACTTCAATTCCCAGAATTCCTGAGCCAGCTTAGCTTAGCTGGCTCAGGAATTCTGGGAATTGGAAGTCCAAGAGTCATAAAAGAGCCAAGGTTGACTACCCCTGATGTAACCAAAGGAGATATCCACAACCTACTCCAGGTGGACAATATTTTGGGGGGAAATGCAATCAATTCTCTGGCAGGAGGGAAACGAATCAAGAAAGCTACATGCCTGCATTGGTGGGGTGGAAAAGAGCAAAAGTTCTCCTCCAACCTCTGTGCAGGAGGGCAACCAAGGCAAATGCTGGATGGGTGGTCTTGGAGTAAGGGTTGGTTGGGTATCTCTAGCCTTTCATCCTTAAGCCTCAACCCTGCAGCTACACAAGGTCATCCAATATTCACATTACCTTTCAAAAACACTGTAATGTGAGTTTATGATACACAGAGGAAGTACAGTTTAAAGGGTACTTATGAACAGGGAGCTCTTTGTATCATATCCCCAATGACATCCCACCTTTAAAAACATCTTAATGAAATTACTCACTGTAAATGGAACATCAGATATTTTCTGTAAAGTGATGAACATTGCTAAACTTGAGTCACAAAGACGACCAGAAAATTACTAGTGAAACTTGGTAGACTTAACAGACTGCTTGGGAATTGCAACATAGTATAGTGTTCACAACCCCTAACAGAAGAACTGGATTAGTAAGAATCCAGTAAGTATTGTTTTGTAGAAATTATATAAGATATGGACAGAAGTTATACCATAATCTAGAACTTGTACAATTCCTTCAGCATTCTACTGTTCCTCAAACTGGTGTGCTCTTAAGCGTTGTAGACTTGTCTTCCCACAACAACCAGCTGGCTGGAACATGTGGAAGATAACAGGCAGGGGAAGGGAGGGTTGTTTTAATTTCACAAAAAGAAAATCCTTACCTGGGTGTGATTTCAGAGGGGTACAATGGAGGTGATGAGTCAGTAACCAATGGGGCTTCAGTGTTTGTTTTAGTTGTCTTAAGAGATAAGGCAACATCGTTCCCCAGAGGTCCATTTGAAGTCAGTCCACTCTATAAAGAAAACCAAAGGAAAGTCAGAAAGGTGATTTAAGTACAGTCGTTTTGATATGTGTCAGCAAATGTACATGTCTATCAAAGTTGTTGCAAATGCCACAGCAGAAAAGGATTGATATGTGAAATAAATGCTCAATTTATCCCTTGCCCCTGAATTCTTTCCTTCAGGCTACCTTCTCCTTCGCAGCTTTTCTTTCTGATTGGTGAGATACAATGGTTGGGACAATGACCAATCTGCATTGGGATAATGGCCAAGATAAAATTTAGAAAAACCGTTAACAGGTAGGACACATCAGAAGGGGATTTTCTGGGAGTGAAATATGGCATCCAAAATACGCAGCATCAAACGTTTTAGCATCATTTTCAGTTTTGAGAGATGGTTAGGGAAGGAGCAAAATGAGTTCTTGAATCTCAAAAAGACTTACCATACCCATTAAAAACCTCCCAAATTAGGGTGACACCTAGTTATACATTTGGAGTGTAGCTTTGGAAGTATAGTGCAAAGCATGATGTAGCCCTTGAACTGGTCATCTTCAATCACTCTTTAAGGGAGAAAGTAGCCTGGAAACAGGTCAGAATATACAGATCCTCCAAACAATTCTGGATTAGTAAGGGGAATAATTTTCAATCATAACCACAAGGAAGGAACTTGACTGGAGAATAGAGGGGGAAGTCCTGCCTTTTTCAGAAGAATTAAGGACCACTTCTAGGTGGCAGTTCGAATGTTTGATAAAGCTGAAAACGTTTACTATCCACCATGCAATAGAAATGACAGATTTTTCGAAACTATATAAATCAATACTAATTTGTGCCACTTTTAACAACAGTTGGAATGACTGTTACTAATAATAAGACATGGACATAAGAATATGAAAATTAATTGTTTGTGAGGATTATTCAATAACTTACTGGCACCAGCCACCTGGGCGCAATTATTGGTGAAGATACCTAAAAGTAAAAGAAACATACAAAACTCATAATATTGTACTATAACCTTATTGGCCAAGTGTCATATCAACTAAACTGATCATGACACAAGCTTTACTGAAAGTAAAAAAAGAGTTAGGTAGAGACAATGGAAGTACTAATTACATTTTTAAATTATACAATGAAACAGCTACATTTTAATTTTTTACTCTTACCTGAGGCGTGGCTTCTGTGAAGTCAATTAAATTCTTCGTCTGTGATGTCAACAAAATCTCCATGCTCTCGGAGGAGCTCTGAAAAATGGAATAGTTAAGTTACGCTCCATCACAGAGAAAGTTGCAGAATGCTTTGTAAGGTTTCATCCATGTTGGAAAAAGCCGCAAGCTTGTGACTGATGTTTAGGAGTGCTGCCCAATGGCATTTTGTTTCACTTTACCATACACATTTTAGTCTCTGATAGAGTCACAGTAGGAACTGAAGCCATGCATTCACTCATTTATTTATTAGATTTATAACCCACTTTTATTCTGTACAATTTAAGGCAGTATATAATTGACTTCCTCCTCCTATTGTCCCTAGGACAACCACCCTGTGAGGTGGGTTGGGCTGAGAAAGAGTGAATTGATCCTGTGGTTAAGGGAGGGTTAGAACTCATGATGCTCCGGTCTCCACTCCTTAATCGCTACACCAAACTGGTTCTTGAGTCTTTTTAACACAGAAAACACACATTGGTGGCCTTAAATTACATGTAAAAACAGTTTTTCTATATTTCCCCCCACAATTTTATAAAGTAACTGGCAGTTCAATCGTTGTAAAATGCCTTTAAAAACAGGATTTGCTTGTAATATAAATTCATACGAATGGCTTCCTCCTCCTACTGTGCTTCTCACCATTCTAAACTGATTAATAGTTTATGACTTTAATTAATATTTTAATATAACATCAGGTTTTTATTGCCAATTCCAACATTTTTTCTCACAATCTAAAGGTTCTATACATAATACCAAATTATGGTTTAACGAAGGGAAGACCATATATTTATATTTGGGATAATCTTTAAGAGCCTTTATATTGGAAAGAGTGGAATCTGTCTAGATTGGAGACAAGGAGGACTTTTCTTCCCTTCCCTAGCCTTTTTTCCTTCTCTTGATAGTGAAAAAGATCTCATTTGCCAAGATCTCATTTACCATTTTCATAATCCCCCCTGTGCCTGCGTGCAAAATTGGGAGACAGGGACACACTCAGAGGTTGCACAACTCATTTTTAATATTAAACTCTAAATATTATTCTGTCCCGGGAATGTATCCCAGGAACCAAGTTTTAAATCACTGCTCTGTTTAATACAAGCTATTTGCCTGGGATTTCTCATCTTACGCTTCTAAAGACCCACACTGCTCCCCACAAAGATGTAACATACCTTTATAAGAACATCCTCTACTCTAGGAGCCAGATCAGTAGGATTCGCACAATCGTTGGAGTCAGGGGCAGTAGTATTCTCCTTGAATTCATTCCTGGAAGATGTAAACAGACCATCCATGAAACAGAGCATGGGTGAAGGAACTGCTGTCATTTGCAATTCCTTCCTGGAGGCAATGGCAGCCTCTGAAATCAATGCCATATGACCTGCTGACCTCAGCAGCTTCGGTCCAAATAGTTTGTCTTCCTGCTAAGCCATACTCTGCCCCTGAGATGGGAATGGGACAACTGGCCACAGCCAGCTCGCCGTGGGCTAACTCACTGCAGGACAATTTAAAAATTCTACCTAATTATTTAAAATAAATAAAAAAAATATTTTAACTTTTGCCATTCACATTTCATTCTGTCTCTCCTTTTGCATCCTTTCTTTAATGATTCCATTCCACCATTTCTTTGATATTAGCGAGTTGTCCTGCAGCAAAATGTCATAGACCAGGGGTAGGCAACCGTGGCTCTTTTATGACTCGTGGACTTCAACTCCCAGAATTCTTGAGCCAGCCATGCTGAGGAGAAAGGGAGAGGTTTCCAAGCTGAGCCATGCTGGCTCAGGAATTCTGGGAGTTGAAGTCCACGAGTCATAAAAGAGCAAGGTTGCCTACCCCGTCATAGACTCCCCCCCCCCCAGGCACAGTATGGTGATAGGGGAACTTGCTTAGTTTAGGGTTCAATTGGCACATCCTTGCCAGAATCCGTGATTCCACTAATCTCCATGCTTTCAGTGATCAAGTAGAAGGAATAAACAATATACAAATAAACAGCCAACTCTCTAGCAGAGTGACAGAAAGCACTTCTGCTACAAGGAAGTCCAACAGACTAACTACTAGCCTACTATTCCAAAAGTAAAGAGCTGATTCATATAAATTCATATAACCAATAAATGTTTTTAAATTATTCTGGAATTGCATTTCATTCTCATGTTAGAGCGTATCTTGATCCTGCTCCTGCCAACTGTGAACATTCACTTATATGTAACTTCATTTTACTAATTGGAAAAACAAAGGTTCAGGAAGGGGTCTTTCTTTTGCCAATTCAACAAGAAGCAATATTCAGTAGAGGGGCACACATCCCCTACTCATGTTGAGAGCGAAACTAGGCCAAAAGTCTGGCTGTTTGGTTTCCCAAAGAAAAGCAGAACCCCTAACTTGACTGAAATTATCAGAATTAACCAAGTGAGCCCTTCAAGTGCTCCATATGCTATTCTTCGATTATTGTGTCCCAAATTTTCATGCATTCCCATTTTCCGGTGGGAATAACACCCCCCTCCTCCAATTCCCACAAGAGGACTTACAGAATGAAAGCATTGGTGACTGGGATCACTTTTAGTCCCTCTCGTGGTTCCTGGCATACAGGACTGAGGGTTCTCAGGGGGCTGTTTTTCTCCTTTCCTGATGGAAGAACGCTTCTAAATCACGCAGAGCCCAAAAAAAAAATGTAACAATTGAGGTCTTTTCCATTGTTGCCAAGAACATTCTTTCATCATTAAAAAAAAAAAAAAAAAAAACAAAGCAGTTTGGAACTCTCTTAATGCAAACCATTTCCTGGAAATGTTTTGTCATCATGAATATCAGTATTGAGGCAAGAAAAAGGAAAGCTAATAATCAAGGAAAACGGCAACTGGGTAAGCACATTTGCCTCATGTTTTTGTGTTTTTCTGCCAGACGTCAATACAAGGAGAAGGTGTGTGATGCCACACAGCTCTCGAAGTAGTGCTTAGGAGTGCAGCATTACGATTGGAGAGATTTAGATTTGCATCTTTTAGTGCTCTCTCTCTCTCTCTTTCATACACACACATCAACTTTAATCACAGCTTTATTAAAATGAAAAAGGATGTAGGGAGTTATATCAGTAGCTCTTGAGTTACAAGGGCAATCGGGACTGGAATTTCTAACGCTTAGCCATGGGTGTCCAACTCGCCACGTCACGTGACATGTCGCGACATATCATGACCCTTTTTGCATTGCCAGCAATGGGGTGGGCGCGGCTTCGGTATGATGAAACCAGCCCACGGGCTGGCAGTTTGACACCCCTGTGCTTAGCAATGTAATCCTGGCTGTTCCAGTTGCAACTTGAGTGACAGCTGCAAGTGTGAGGGTGGGTACTATGGGACAGGTACTAGGGAACACAGGGTGGAGGAGGTGAGTGCCCAAGCATGTGTTAAGGAGCACAGGTAAGTGCCAAAGGTGGGAGTGCAGCAGTGGAGGCCGCGGAGTGCTGATCATAAATGTGGGCTGGCCTGAACTTCATAGGTCCATTGTTTCAGCACCACTGTAACTCTGAACAGTCACTGAATGAATGCATGTAACCCAAGGACTATCGGTATGCCATATCTCTATATTCTGAGACTATTTTTTTCCAACTTCTGATAGAAAAATGCCCAAGAAGGGGGTGCAAGGCATGGGAATTTACCATCAAACCTTCTTGAACAACAGAGTAATGTGTCCCAATGAATTTGTTTTCTGGCTGGATAGGAATATTCAGTTTTCTAGAATCTCAACTGAATAAGACACAAGGCCTCCTTTTAAAGGACTAAGCAGAAACAAGACTAAACCACAACAATGTGAGTTGGATTAATAATGTTGTCAGAAATATTATCCTGCAGGCATTTTAAAAACCACTAATATCAGTTTTACAAAACTTTGTTACAAGTGATTTCTTCCATTATTAAGTGGGTATAGGAACCTGCTCACACCACAGAGCAGAAATCTTCAGCACATTTCAAGCTCCATATTGATACCTTCCAGCTGTTTCTTGAACATTGTTGTTCTTACTGCAAGATACATTTCCCTCTCTCACTACCTAAAAGAAAACAAACACAATTACATCTCAAAACATTAATTTTATTGAGGATATAATCTAAAACCCATTTTTTTCCTGACAGATCAAAGGCAATGGAGCCTAACATAACAGAAGTGCCCTTCTCTGCCACTTCTTATAAGATAAGATAACTTTTATTGTCATTTTTTTTACTGTGGGCACAACGGCACACATCAAAAATGAAATTTAGTTGCCCGCTCTCAAAGTGAAACACAAACATAACACACAGCTAAAACATACTATATACAACATATGAATAGACCCACACCCCTACGTATACATAATAAATAAATATTAAATACTGTCTATCTAGAATATATGCATTATACCACTGCAGACTGTAACGTGTATCCAGGTTTTCTGTTCTCATTGTGTCTGGATGGAGAATGTTCTGGATAATAGAAGACTGATTATGATGCCTCCAGTGTCTAGGTCAGCGGTTCTCAACCTGTGGGTCACGACCCCATTTGGGGTCGAACGACCATTTCACGGGGGTCGCCAAACGTGATTCGCCATTTTTTTCGTCAGCCGGCGCAGGGGGCGCCGTCGCGCATGTGCGCCGTGCAGGGGGCGCCCCCGCGCATGCGCGCCGCCTGCTTATGACCGGGGTCGCCATATAAAAAGGTTGAGAACCACTGGTTTAGGTGGTAGACATTGGGATAAGAAACAGCAACCTCTTTCTTTACTCTATAGCAGTGATGGCGAACCTTTTAGAGACTGAGTGCCCAAACTGCAACCCAAAACCCACTTATGCATCGTCGAGTGCCGGATGGGTGTGGCCTATTGGCTGGGTGTTGCCAATTGGGTGGGCATGGCCAATTGGTGGGTGTGGCTGCAGTGGTAATGGCAGACTGGGTGGGACTAAAAAGTTCATTCAATCAATTCCAACTTTGCAAGATCTTTTTTTTCCCGCAAGAAGTTGAAATTGACTGATGGAAACTTTTTTTTTTTTTGCATATGGCGGCGGAGGCCTAAAGCGAAAAGGTTTTATAAAACCCAGCTGAAGGCCTAGGACTGGGGCGACGGTGCGTGTGCCCACAGAGAGGGCTCTGAGTGCCACCTCTGGCACCCGTACCATGGGTTTGCCACCACTGCTCTATAGCAATAAATTAAAACTAGAGAAATTGGCCGAGCCCGGCTGTTTCTTGCTTTTTTTCAGTATGGAATGGGAGAACTCACTGCGGCTGGCTTACCTCAACCAACTCACCACGGAAAACTCTCAGTGGGATGACTCAATGCGAGATATTATCAATGAAATGTTGAAAAAAAATGATGGAATGGAATCATTAACGAAAAGATGTTAAAGGAGGGAGAAAATGAAATGAGAATGGTAAAAAAATAAACTAATGTCAAAGAAACAGTGGTGGATCAGAGTACGTTTATCTCGCGTTGAAATGTCTCGCGTCAAGTTGTCCTGCATCAAGCTGGCTGCTTTGAGTTGTCCTGGGCAGGTTATCTGACACTGAGTTGGCCAGGGTGAGTTGGCCATGGCAAACGGTGTTAAGACTCTTTTCAGCAAGCCTTGGAATGTTTCAGAGACAAGGCTGAATATACCGGTGGCAATTTTTCTCTAGCACAGGCCTCCTTCCTTAGATCTGGATGATAAGATGCCTCTCCTCTAACTTCTATTTCTGAGAATTCAACAGAAAAAAAAATGCTATGACCCCATCCAACCATTCTCTTCAGCCATACTCTCAGATCTACTTAAGCCTCCAGCAGTGTAACACATCCTTCTCCCATGTACTGAGAAGACACTTAATCATGTAGAATAGATGGAGGGAGAGGACTTCTATCAACACATCTGTAGGGGTTAGAAGATTATGAACAGGCTCTGCACAGGTGTTTAAATTATCTTACTAATGATAAACCAAGTATCAATACTGACTCAAAGTATAACAGAAAATTGATGTTAGTTTTCTATATTAAAAAGCATCACTACCGAAGCAAAATTCTTACTTTGTGCCCTGCCTCCACCTGGGCCTTCAAAATATTACTTTTAATGTCCGGAGGCGACCTCATAGAGGTGTTCACAGGGCTCTCAATTACATTGTTCAGGCATTTATCTGTCAATTTCACAACTTCCTCCTAGAAATAAACAAAACTACATTCATAAACAGCACTCCTCATTAGGCGAACAGTCAACACATGAAAAGAATTAATACAGCTTCCACAACCAGCACATAAATATATGTATTACATATGCTTTGGGCCAGGACTCTGCCTTATTACGAATTTCCATGTGAAATATAGGATGATTAGCACTAAAACTATTCCAGAACACTAACTATACTAAGGAGATAAGACCAAGCCATTGTGTGCATTAACAGAGTAAGATATCTATGTGTGGCTCTTTTCCCCACTAACTAAAGAATTTTGGTATCTAATTTTATAGGTAATATCTCAGTTTTTAATGAAGATAACAGCTTCCTATAAAATAAGGAATGTTTTTCTTTCAATTCATATCTAGCACAAAAATACTAGATAAGCAAATAATATTTCTTAACTTTTGAATTGGATATATATATATATATATATATATAAACTAGACAAGTGCTATGGCTAAGAAACTTAACGCAGGTGGAACATACTCAAAATGCTTACAAAACAGGACTAATTTATAGCTGTACTTATCTGCTACGCAGTTCTATAGGCAATGTACTCAGCCCCTTTTGGTCTATGGAGATTCTCAGTCATCTAGGTCACAGTTGTCCCAAAGATGCTTTTTTACAAGACAACTGGACTTTCTTGTTTTAATTTGAAGACGTTTCGCTTCTCATCCAAGAAGCTTCTTGGATGAGAAGCGAAATGCCCTCAAAGAAAAACAAGGAAGTCCAGTTGCCTCATGAAAAAGCATCTTTGGGACAGCCTCTTTTGGATTTTCTAAATTTTTCCATATACTTCACAGTCTATGTTATCAAAACTTCATTTTACTTATTTACTCAATTTGTGTAGCTATAGGCCTTAGTGAAAAAGACAGCCTGAGTGAATAAACAACATCTGAATTGAGTGTTTGTTTATGTTTACCAAGTCATTCAATGCCATTGTGAACAACCCTTAATATTCAGTAATTGGTTGAATTGCCTTTAGGTGTAATTAACTTCAGCCAAATCTGTTCTGTAAATTACTGATCACTGCCTCACCTCAGGAATTATGGCCCATAATTCCATGGTCAACAACTTCTACTTAGTAACATTTGAGGTTTTTATAGCATTAACTCCTCATTGGGATCCTTTTATAGTATCTCTATGGGATTTAGGTCTAGACTTTGAGTTGGCTAATCCATACTATTAAATGTATTCTACATCCATTCTCCTACAGTTTTTTGGTATGCTTGGGAACACAGTCTTGGTGTATGGCCAATTTGAACTTCAGTTTCAGCACAAATAGCTTGTAGAATTCCAATTCAAAGTAGAATTTATCTTTTTTTCCTAAAGCAGCAAAACATTTCCAAAAGATGACACTGCCACCTCCATGCCCAAGCACTGGTATAAAGATTCTTTATTGCAAAATGTGTGTTGGGTTCCACCAGGCATAGGATAAGAAGTTCCACTGTCCATAGAATGTTCCCCCTGGAATGCAGAATGTGATCTAGGTGGGTTGGGATGAGCATCAGCGTTCTTCTTAATGAGCAATGGCTTCCATCTTGCTACTTTCTCAGGAATTGATTTTTATCTAATACCTTAGCTATATTGAGAGAGATCTGCAGATTGTTCTGATTTTTGGGGGGGCGATTTCCTGAATTATTTTTATATCATAACTTTTGAGCGATTTTGACAGATAAAGTACTGCTTGGAACCTTCACTATTATAAATCTTAGCATTGCAAGAATATAATTTTGCTTGTGGACTGTTAAAGCCCCTTAGCATTTAGAAATCATTTTGTAACTTTTCCTAATTAATATCAATGGTTTTTAATGGAGTTCTTCATAATTATATTTGGAAAGGGGCATGACATGCCATAAAACTGTGTGGTAAGAATCTCACTGTGATGATGAGAGCCAACATTTGTGAAATTTATGTAGAATAGGGTTGGCCTATATTGGTTCTGATTGTTTACTGAAATGTTTACATAACTGGCCCTAATTAACATCTTGACTGATTAGGGAGAGGCAACTATTTTTTTCATATTGGCAGTCTGCTAATAGATAATTCAAATGAAGCACTAAATCCGAAGAATTTGAACTTCTGATGACATCCAGTGAAAATAATATGCAAATGTTTGAAAATTCAAACTGTGCATCGGGCAGGATTGATTAAATCAAGTTTCAGCATATCAATGTATATCCCAGAAAGATATTTTCCAAGTTGTCTATTCAGCATTCATATGTAAAATATAATTCTTTCCTGTATTCATTGCTATATTATATGGCTGAAATTAATTCTTATATAAATTTTTTGTCCTGAAAGAAACAGAATTAAGATTTTTAATTATTCTCCATCTGAATCTTCCTCAACAACACTGATTTAAGTTTCACTCCAAATCTGTTTTCATCACTACTTAAGCAAGGTTGGGCAGAAAGGAGAAAAAAAAAGTTATGCTCCCATTACTTATTTATTTTGTTTAGTTTTCAAAATTTATCCTCCTGCTTTTATAATCAAATGAATGAATACTTGTTAATTATGGATTCATATATCATAATTCAGTGCTTGAAGCACATATTTAATGTCTTATAAGGCCTTTTCCTTTAGAGATTGCCATCACTTAATAGAGCTAACTCAGCAAGGTGAACTATCTCATCTCACAATAAATATATACTTGTCTCAAATGACAGGAAGCAGTATTTTTCTTAGGTAATTATTTTTTCTAAGGAGAAAAGCACATGTCAGGTCAGATCTCCCTCCCCAAAACTGCCTAGTGTTTATTTTAGCCAAGGGCATTAATCCTACTTTAGCTGACTGTCACAGCACTTAAGCGCAGGACCAAGGATGCCTTGAGGTGCATCCAGAGAAAGTGTATCATGCAGTTGTCTGGCCTCATCCACAGTCTCATTCTTATACTTACTTATAAACAGTATGATTGCTGAGATAAGCTCAGATTCCTTAATTACTGTATATTAGAGTATTGCGTTTTAGGAATACAACGAGAAGTAGAATTTTAATCTTTTATACTGAAAGCTTTTAGAAATTAGCTAAACTTCTGACACGCAAGAAAAACTGTCCTTGACTCTCTTGTGGTGGTCCCGAAAGACTTTTTTCGATGTGCTTCTCCAACTTTCTGCATGCCAATATAGCTTAAGCTTGTTCTTTCAAACAAATTTTTCCACCTACTGCTCATTACAGAATGTCCTTTAGAAGAGATGCTGATATAGATACAGAATATTACATCTTCCTAAAGACATGGAAAATATAGTGAAGCCAAGCTTTTATCATTCCCTGCATTCCAGAAACAAAAGGGATTGGAATGCCTATCTAATTAAAAACTAATTGCTCCCTTCTGTGCCAGCATACCCTTCACGAGCTTGGCACTGCCAATCTTGTAGACTTTCAATCTATCAAACATAGTCACTAAGCTGCAAAACATAGCAGTTTTTATCTCGCATGAAAAAAAAAAACATTATGGGAAACAGCAAATATATACAAAAACCCTGACCCGCCCATATTTCTGGGAAGAGAAAGTATGCAATACCTGCTTGCTGACATTTATGTTTATATTGGACTGGGAAACCAATACGGGAGTGAACTCGGCTTCCAGGTCTTTCAGTTTCAGGGATGGTTCATCAACTAGAAGAGAGGAAGAAAGAAACTGGACATACAGTACCCCAGATTGACATAAAGCTCTAAAAACTGTTGGCATTTCATCCTGACATTGCTTTCACAGTAAGAATAGATTTATCTTATCTGTAACTACTATTTTTTCTTATGCTCTCTATACCAGTGGTTCTCAACCTGTGGGTCGGGACCCCATTTGGGGTTGAACGACCATTTCACGGGGGTCCCTGGCACCCGGTGATGTATAAGTGGTTGGGGGTCACCACAACATGGGGAACTGTATTATGGGGTCGCGGCATTAGAAAGGTTGAGAACTACTGCTCTATACAATCACAGTTAAGAGGTACCTGTAGCTACATTGTCTGAAAATCTTTGTAAAGTTTAATATTTTTACATAGCTAGTAGGCTGGAAGAGATAATTCCAAGTGAAGCTTGAGAGTTTTGGAAGCTTTCAGTCATTACAGGGACAATATGTTGCTACTTACAGGACCGGGGAGGAGAATAGTAACTTATGACAAAAGAGGTTTTAGGCAAATAAGTTCCTTGGGTAATGCCTGCACTTCCCTGAACAAAGGATTGTGCAAGCTGGTAAACTGCAGAGCAATTATGGAAATTACTGTTAAATGCTACTAAAACAAAAGCATGGGGGGGAAATAAGAAATTGTAGCAATTGTCTGAACAAGCAGCAATTGTCTGAACTAAGGAAGGGAAAGAAGGAGAGAGATTGCTTGCCAATTCGTTTTTTGGAATATCTGGAATCAATCCATGGTCAACGGAAACCGTTAGTTATATTAAAAATGCTTATTTCATAATGTAAGACCACATCAGAGACTACAGTAGTTGTAACCCACTCGGTCTACCAATAAAGTGATCCAAGTGACTCACTACCCATGGTGCCTTACCAACAAGATTTATTTTCTCAGAGGGCTGTTCCTTTGTATCATCTGCCCCTTCCAATGTTTCACCTGATCCTCCAGCAGGAGGAAAACCAGCAGCACTGTCAGTACAAGGGTCCAACATTTCTTTGTGATCAAGCAAATCAGCAGTCAGAGGCACGCTGCATAGGCTAGGAAAAGGAAACAAGACTTTTAGAAACTCAAATAAATCTGGTATATTAATATGCCTTTAAATTGATGGTTACACTCCTATCAAATATATTTTTTTTTAAATGATGACAACCTATACAAAAGGTTCTTAGCATTTAAACCAGGGGTTGTCAACCTTGGCTCTTTTATGACTCGTGGACTTCAACTCCCAGAATTCCTGAGCCAGCTGTGCTGGCTCAGGAATTCTGGGAGTTGAAGTCCACGAGTCATAAAAGAGCCAAGGTTGACTACCCCTGATTTAAACGATGTTTCTTTTTTTCTCTCTCTCTCTCTCAAGTAAGGAGCCATACAGCTGAAGGCGTTTGTATATTTTATATTATATTTTAACTATTTCTAATTGCATTTAATTTGCTTAGAAACTAATGTAGGTAAGTAACATACAAAAAAATTCAAATCTGAGATAGTCCAAGCTTGAACAGTTGTTCCAAAGCTATTCTAACTAATCCTTCCAGAAGGGTCTTGATGTTGTTCATTTGGAAGTATTCTGAGCAAAAATAGTCCATTTTTAGCTCAAGGCAACATTTTGAGCTCAAACACTTCCAGGTTGTTCAGAATGATGTCAAAACGTTTCCACTAAAGACATATTTTGCATTCAAAATATTTTGCATTAACCCGACTATAGATACATGTGGGAATTTAAACTGAATATGAAGACAAACCAAAATTAGAAATATTGTCATTGACTCCATTGCTACCCTGTACAGTAGTATGACAATTGCTCACAAAATATGATTGCCACAACACATAGTTGCTTCTGCAATAAAATGTGAACCACAGATGCACATTTTTGTGTATGGGTATTTTTGTAGCCCAAGCACAAACAATGGGAATTTAATTGTTTTTCAAACTTTACATATGTAATCAGAACAGAAAGCAAAAGAAATCATGCCACCACCAGAGTTAGCATCCATTAAGACCAGCGTTTTTCAACTTTGACAACTTTTAAGATGTGTGGACTTCAACTCCCAGAATTCCCCAACCAGCATATTCCAAAGGTTGAAAATCATTGAACTAGACTATCATATTTTTGGAACATTTGCTTGATCTAGTTCCAATACATGCAAGTCATTATCTTGTGTTGCTGAGCAACCCAAGAAGGGCAAAAAAACTATAAGATGCTTCCATCTTATATATGGCTGCCGTAGAATAGAAATAGATTGTGTTTTTATGCATCATATACAGTTTGCAGGTGAAGGGCTGTATCACAATGGCCGCATTGCTCCACTGTTTTTTCAAACACAGTAAAGGCTTATTACAGATTGGGATCACATCCTAGTTAACCCCAAAGTACCCAGGATTAATTCCAGGGTCAATTAATTCCACCCTGTATTGGCATGCTGTGTAAATTTAACTTTCTCTTTTGCCTGCTTGCATACAAGAACTCAGAACAGTCCTAGAGAATTAGATGGCTATAGCTGCTTTATCTCTTTGGATTTTCTTTTCAGTCAACACATATTGAGCCGAGGTGGCGCAGCAGTTAGAGTGCAGTACTGCAGGCCACTTTAGCTGACTGTGTTCAGCAGGTCAGCGGTTCAAATCTCACCGGCTCAAGGTTGACTCAGCCTTCCATCCTTCCGGGGTAGGTAAAATGAGGACCCAGATTGTTGGGGGCAATGTAAATATATATATACATTGCTTACTGGTGTACACCGCTTAGAGAGTGCTTGCACTTAAAGCGGTATATAAGTCTCATAAATAAATAAATAAATAAATAAATAAATAAATAAATAAATAAATGTAGGGAGAGGGACTGAAATGGGTAGAAAGACAAGAGAGGAAAGTGAAGCCTTCTAACTGGTCCTTGATGGTACCAGCCCTGATAAGGTCACAATGATTATTTTTTTCAACCTTTATCAATCTCCTCTATCCAGAGCATTTGCAACCAGTTGATAAGGAGTCCATTGGAGAGCTACAAAAATATATGGCACTTCTGATTGCTTCTAAAGCCTCAAATGGAAATACAGGGTCTGCGGAGGATTAAAAAGATCAAAAGGACTTCAATTCTCTTATCAAACTTCAGGATTTTGAACAGGTGCAAATAATTCTAAAATCAGAGAAATAGCACTGCATCTCTTCAAATCTCTTTGCAGTATAGAAGGAGAACCCAAAGTTTCTGACTACTGACAAAAAGCAGAAGTAACTTGTGCTGGTCTCAGAAAACAATCCAGATAGCTCTGGTTTTTCATGAGATGTTTAATTACTTTGGGTGATTAATACAAATGCTACCATTTCACTCCTCTTACCACTCAGAATTTTAAGCATGGTCTAAGCTGAGACCATGAACTGGAAAAACAATGTTTCGGATTCTCAGTGCCAACTGTAATGGTAACTACTCTGCATTCAGTTCAAATACTCAGCCTAGACAATAATTAAGATTCATCCCAAAGATGCTTTTTCAGGAGGCAACTGGACTTGTTTTTCTTTGAAGATGTTTCACTTCTCATCCAAAAAGCTTCTTCAGCTCTGACTGGATGGTGGGGAATGGAAGGATTTATATTCCTTGCAGACAGCTGTTCAAATGACCAGCTGTTTGCAAGGAGTATAAATCCTTCCATTCCCCACCCCACTTCAAAGGTTTGGCTAGTCTAAAGAAAAGAAGAAACAGGGGTGACATGATAGCAGTATTCCAGTATTTGAGGGGCTGCCATAAAGACAAGGGGGTCACATTATTCTCCAAAGCACCAGAGGGCAGGACAAGAAACAATGGTTGGAAACTGATCAAAGAGGGAAGCAACCTGGAATTAAGGAGAAACTTCCTGACAGTGAGGACAATTAACCAGTGGAACAGCTTGCCTCCAGAAATTGTGGGTGCTCCATCACTGGAGATTTTTAAGAAGAGGCTAGACAGTCACTTGTCTGAGATGGTATAAGTTCTCCTGCTTAAGCGGGGGACTGGACTAGAAGACCTCCAAGGTCCCTTCCAGCTCTATTATTATTATTATCATCATCATCATCATTATTAAAAACAAGAAAGTCTAGTTGCCTCGTGAAAAAGCATCTTTGGGATAACTATGACCTGGATGATTGAGAATCTCCATAGACAAATTAAGATTCATGGTATTTGTGTAAAAAGCCAGTGTACCTATTTACATTAGCACCCAGCATGGTTCAGCATGCTATAGACAGTGACTTTCAAAAATTTTGTGCTACCCAGATTAATGAAGGTGGAAATTAATCAAAGAGAGTGGTAGGGAGAATCTGAAACTGCAAGAATTACTAGATTTCATTAAAGGTGGATTAGGCTGCCATAAATGCTATGAAGATTTCATGTACGCTTAAAAACTCAGAAAAGTCAGACAAAATCTGTTTTGTCTGTTACTTTTGAAAATATTAGTTCTAGCAGTTATTTGGTCTGATTTTAGCATTAAGCAGCAAAGTAGCTGGGTTCACACTAAGCCATAACAGAGTTTGCTTGTGTTTAGCTTAGCAATAAATCATAGTAAAACTATGGCATATCTTATATATTTAGTTTTTCCACCACCACCATCTACACATACCTGCACTGCTTTCTTGCCATCTCATCTGGATACTTGAAAAGATCTGTGAGGAAAAAAAATGGCTCCCACAACCTTGAAACACTTTGTTTACCGACTGACAACGATTAGCAAGTGTTTTTGTTTTCCTCAAGGCTCTCCTCAGTTGGGGAAAATGAAAAATGATCTTCATGACTATGTGAATTTTTAAAGGATACTTACAGCCTTAGGCACGTATGCCAAATTACTAGTTCAGCAGTTTTTTAAATTATGCTTTTATTTGAGCATTTCTCACACCTACAGAAGCTATTGTTATATATCAATCTATTGGGATTTTGGTATCTGCCTAGGCTGGAAGCCATTTGTCCCAAGAAACACCTTTCTCAGAACTGCAATTAAGAAGATTTATTAAGAAGATTGTTAAAGCAACAAATACAAGAATTCCAGTAAAAACTTTCAAATGAGAAGTTATATATCAGGAAATTAGGGAAGGGAAGTTGTATAGGTTTTTTTTCTCTTTTGAATGGGAGGAAGCTTCTTTTTTTTATGAAGGAAGGATAGGACTGTAGCTATTGATTATTTTGGAAATGGATACTTGTCAATTTACGAACCAGCTCTCACCCAATCACACCTTGCAACCTATCAGGCACAGCAATTCTAGTACAGTAAATAAAGTAGGGTCTGATTTGGCAAAGCCTTACTAAGTTAGTGCAAAGCAGTGTTTCTCAACCTTGACAATTTTAAGATGTGTGGACTTCAATTCCCAGAATTCTGTAGCCAGCAATGCTATAAATGCTGGCTGGAGAATTCTGGGAGTTGAAGTCCACATGTCTTAAAGTTGCCAAGGTTGAGAAACACTGGTGTAAAGGAATGTAGATCTGGCTTTATGAAAAGTATGAGAGCTACGAAGGGGGAAAGCAAAGAGCAAGCTGCTAAAAGGGACTTGCAGTAAAGATCACACAGTTTTGAGTTCGAGAGAAGCAGGGGAAAGAAACTCAAAATAATTCCACTTTGATTTTGTGTAGGATGGGCAGAGAGAAACTTGAACAGGCTGTTAAAACTCTGTTAATTCTAATACATAATATGTACTCTTGGAATCCCGACCACCCTTGCTTCTTAAAAGGGTCTTCTTCGTGGAGCTGACATATCAGTCTAGAAAGCTTATACAAGTTTCTCTGTTTTACCTTAACAAAATCAAGCTGGGGTTATTTTGAGCTGCTTCTCACACTTCCTTCCATCTCCCTCTCTGTAATTTTTTTTTCTGCAAGCCCCTTTAATAGTTCTATTATAACTTTTTTAAGGCCAGATCTATCTTCCTTTACAATTAGCACCACCAAAGCAAAAGAGACATGTCACTGTTTCCTCCATCCCCACGCAAAGTGCAGTGTTGTTGTGGCTTCCATCCTACTAATATTACTGCTCCCCCATTCAAGGATATGACTAGGGCAAGTAAGGCCTTTGAGACAGAAATATTTCCAGAAAAATCT